TAAGTTTATTATATTACCGTTAAACAGTTACTGAGAATTTAATTACATTCTTCATATACATAGATTGACTTAGATAATATGTACTTCGTCGTCTATATGTATAACTGTCCCACAGTCATGGCTATGTGATTGGATCACAGAAAATACCATGATAACCAGGTGGTTACGGAATGCAGGGATTGTTAGGAAAGATACTAACAGCCTTAATGCTAGCAATATGCCACATGGCTATGAAAATAATAGTAGTTATTTTTTTTTATAAATACGTCACGATGGGTCAACCGACCTGCTTTTATCCTCACCTATTGTCTCTTACTGGTATTCCGATTACTGATATGCAGGATCGTTAACAATATGTATTCGCGGATATGGATACACAAACGGATCATTATTGTCCAGATCCGCAAATACGAATACGGATTCTACTTTTAAAGATATTGTAATTAGTATCTTAAAGGTAATGGTATTAGTAACTAACCACAATAAATGTTTATTTGTTGCAATATAAATAAAAATATACAGTGAGTGTAAAAAGTATTCATACACCTAGGGTTATAATAAAAAAAAATACGAATTTGATAGACTTTCCTCTATTTATTTAATTTAAATCAATACTGTTAAATAGTTTAACATTCCCGCACTTTGTTTATGATAATTTTTGTTTTTTAAAATAAAAAATATACAACACAAAAATATTTTTATGTTAACTGAGCAAATAATGACAAACAAAAAGTATTCGTACATTCATTCTTTTTTAAATGAAATTCTGTATAAATCATTTATTCAATCGAATTTTTCATATGCCTACAATGCCAAGGTCATTTTTAATACGTAGGTATAGATATTAGACGTTTTAGTTGCACTCGTGACAAGTATAGACGTGTTTAGTTACAAAAATGGGTCGTAAAGCAAAAGAAACGAGTGAAGAGGAGAGAAAATAATTATTAATTTGCATAATCAATGCAAATCATTATGTGAAATTGCAAAATTTGTCAATAGACCACGTTCAACCGTACAGACTGTAATTGATCGGTTTTCTATTACTAAAACACTAAAAAACAAACCCAGAGGTGGGGCGTCCATCAAAAATCACGCCTCGATTGGATCGGAAAATTTTAAATTGTGTAAAAAAAAATCCAAAAATTAGTGCCCCTCGAGTGTTACAAGAAATTAATAATATCAATGATTGCCATATTTCTGTCAGTACCGTTCGGAACGTATTACGTAGTAACGATTATCATGGAAGAACTGCGCGTAAAAAGTATTAGGTAAATGATATTAATAGAAAAAAAGATTAGAATTCGCAAAAAAATATATTAATGAAAAAAATCATTTTTGGCAAACTGTTATTTACTCAGATGAATCGAAATATAATATTTTCAAATCGGATGGGCATCATATGGTATGGAGAAAACCTAATATGGAATATAAGAAAGAAAATTTATGTCCAACGGTAAAACACGGTGGTGGGTCAGTATTTGTATGGGGTTGCATGAGTGTTTTTGGGGTGGGAAAACTTGCATTTATTGATGGAATTAGGGATCACAAAGCGTATATTAATATTTTAAAAGAGAATCGTCTCTCTAGTGCAGCTCAAATGGGTTTTAACAATAATTGGATATTTTTACAAGATAATGACCCTAAACATAAAGCATGGAATACTAAAGCATGGATCCTGTTTAATGCTCCAAAATACCTAGAGATTCCTCCTCAATCACCTGATATTAATATTATAGAGCATGTGTGGGATTATCTCGATAATAAAATTCGAAATCGACCAATTTCGAGTAAAGAAACACTAAAAATTGCGCTTCGCGAAGAATGGGCATTAATACCGTCTTCTTATATTTTCAAACTAGTTGATTCGATGCCGCAGAGACTCCAAGCTATCATCAATGCTAACGGTGGTCCAACAAAGTATTAATATTTTTTTTAATATTCATTTACTTACAAATTTTATAAGTGTACGAATACTTTTTGTTTGTCATTATTTGCTTAGTTAACGTAAAAATATTTTTATGTTGTATAATTTTTTTTATTAAAAAACAAAAAATATCATAAACAAAGTGCGGGAATGTTAAAATATTTAATAGTATTGATTTAAATTAGATAAATAAAAGAAAGTCTATCAAATTCGTATTTTTTTTATTACAACCTTAGGTGTACGAATACTTTCTACACTCACTGTATGTTAAGAAATGAAAATTAATTTAAATAAAATTTAAGAGTGTTTCATTACCTATACCTACCTATGTATAATTAGGATTTTAAAAATGTAATAAAATTTAATAATGCAAAAATACAACCTAACTGAGAACCAACTCCTTTTCTTTTAAAGTCGGTTGAAAGTAAGCTTGACCCTCGCCGTAAGAATAAATATTCGTAAGAAGCCGTAAGGCTCGACTTTATCTGTATTCTATGCTTATTATATAAAATCAAACAATGAAATCACCAATCAAGTTTCCTATATTAGAAACGACATTCGATCTTAATCATTTTACGCTTCGTACAATTAGGTGCCAGTAGGTAACTAGGTAACAACTGACTCATAAACCGGAATAACTAGAATCACAATAATGACAATAGCTATTGAATCCCATGACAGACGAGGTTGGGTCAATTTCCGAACGCACCCGCATAGATTTATTTATTTTACGACCTTCCGACTTATTTCCTTTGCCTGTGCGTTTCATTTTATCGTCTCCATTGAACTTTTACCCTTATATCATAAACAATAGAATTTTATTTTCTATTTTCAAATCGTAGTTGTTTTTTGCCGAGACGCATATAGATTGTCTCTAACAAAAGTCTCCCCTTCTTTTGGGCAACGGTCATGCAATTTTTCAATCAAAGTCGCATTGTAGATGTTTCGTGTTCCCTCGCAATTAACCGAACGGACCGTTTGAAAATATTCGTTGCAACAGACATGTTCTCGATCTGATCGATAATGATGGTATTGACACATAAGAAATAAGTAATGGAACTTATATCTGATGCCAATTATCTAATTATTTTACTAATATAATAAAATTGCAACTAGTCGATGTCTGCGCATAGGCGGTATCACTACATAGTATAAAACAAAGTCGCTTCTCGTATATCTGTCCCTAGGTATGCTTAGATCTTTAAAATTATTCAACGGATTTTAATACGGTTTTTTTTAATAGATAGAGTGATTCAAGAAGATGATTTATATGTATAATATAGTAGAGAAACTGATAATTTTTGAGATTTCTAATGTGCCAGCCGTCCGGCACTATTTAGCATCAAGATCCGTGCGAAGCCGGAGCGGGTCGATAGTTTAAGATAAATTGATATGAGAAGACTTAATAAGAGCAATAGAAGAAAAAAAACAATATTTTTTTGTATTTTCGTGTTTGTCTGTATGTTTGTATTATTACGGGATCAAGTAAAAACACACAAATTGAATGCGATTTTCATAGTTGTATTCTTTAATTTATCCCTGATATGCAATCTAGAAGTGATTACTTACTTCCAAAATCCAGGAGTGCGAAGTTATGATCAAAAGCTAGTCATAGATAATGCAATATTATCTACTACCAATATTCTTCTATGTATATATTAATTTATTTATTTATTTATTCATTAAAAATAATTACAACATTATAACAGCAAAAGCCAAATCAATGGAATGGTAAACCCCGCCTGCCTTCACTACCGGGATACGCTGGCGGGGCATATAGTGAGTGCTGACAGATGAGATGAAGTTAGTTAAACCATAATGACGGATTCAACAAAAATTAACCAGGGGTAACCGCGTCCTCATTACTAACAATTTATATTATTAATTAAATTACTAATAGGTATATATATTAGTTAATATTATATAAACTTTCACATTTATTTAAATCTTCAGTTCATTGCTCAATCACGTTTAAAGAGCTGAATAAATAGAAAATTTGATAAAGGATACCATAACCATATCATGATTAAAGTTGTAATACTTAGGGTAAGCCCATACTTTATTCTCAAGATCCCAACCTTTGTGGTAATATTACAATCAGTGTGTGTAATTACATATGTCTAATGTGAAAGTTTAAGCTATTTGAATAACATTAAAGCGCTTAATTGCCTGAACGGATTTAGGTGAAATTTAGTACACCTATAGACCATAATACTACTTGTCACAAATTCCCGTTTAATGTAGATATAGTCACAGGATACAAGAAGTTAATCTATACCTAATCTTATACATAATGCCTATTGTACACTTATCATACACAGCCGTTTCTTTGCTTCGTCATAATCAGAAACATGAATGTATATTTTATCTTACTAGACACAAAATTCTTTATATTAAAAAAAAAATTGCAATAAGTGGAAAGTAATAAGTTCTTATTAATATGTGTACTTTCTTAAAATTAACATGCCATTAGCATTAACTTTATTATCAATCAATGGTCATATACAAACGAACAGTATAGAAATGAATGTTTGCTGTCATTCGTCATACTGGTGAACGGGACTGGCCTGCTCTTCAAAATTTCGTGTATCTGTGTTAAATTTTTATGTAGGTGTATTGGTAAATTTGTAATCATATTTGTAAATTTTAACTTAGAAAATAGTAACTATAGTAAATGGGTACTTATCTTGTCTACTCAATTGCATTGAGAGGAAATTAAAATAAAAGTAGGAACGTCTCATAGACTCTGTTAAAACCATAGATTTAGGATTATTCATTCGTACTTGGATATATTACTTAAGTAGGAGAGCAACTTAACTCAATGGTTTGCTCTTTTGAGGGTAACAATATACTGAGTTGTGACCATTTTGTGTTACTATGACACACGCATAAAAGAAAAAATGTTACTTCTTTTATATACTTTGCTTTTTTGAATATGCATTCTTTTATCTCTTTTTACTGCGTATGTCTGTTGTTGTGTGCTGTAAGTAATGCAAATAAATTATATATCTATCTATCTATCTAATTCTATCCTTTAATTTGAAACTATTATTAATAAATCTATGGCCCTACTCACCGTTGACTATAAATCTGTGCCTGTCATTCTTCAGCTCCTTCGATAGTTTGGGGCACTCCTTGTCTAAAACACTACACAATTCCACCAACTTTACACCACTTTGTTTACTAACAACTTCAACGAAGTAATTGCACTTTTCACTATCAGGCGCACTCGTTATCAGCTCAAGGTCGCCGACATTGAATATACCTTTCTTCACTAAAACATCTAATATGTTCGTATCGCATATTTCTCGTAGTAAAATAGTTTTGTGCCGAATAAGGCCGGCACAAACATCACTCACCGCAGCCATCGTTCAACTGAGCGGGCAAAGGCGCGCGAAAGAAAAAACTCCATTGAATCGGCCCATTCAACAGATGCAACCCGCCGGTGGCGTGGAGGCACGTACGTAGACAAGGTACAAAGGAAATACGGTACGGTGTGACTTGTTTCTTGACTGAACGGTCGTGTAATAAGTACCCTTTTGTCCAGTTGTAGGTATCTACAAGTACCTAGTTTCTTTTTTATTGGGAAAAAATGGAATAGTAACCCCACCCGCGCTATCGGTATACATCGATGAGGCACCAGTGGAATGTGATAGGTAAGAATAAATGCAGATCAGTTGATCCACCATGATGAATTCGGCAAAATTAACCATGATGGTTTCCAGGGGGAACCGCGTGTAGGTCGAATTAAAAAGGTATATTGCTTGCAATGGGCCTATTAGACCCCATTACTAACAATCTCTTTCCCCCTACAACTATCTAGTTGTAATAGCAGGACCAAGAGGTGATGGTATCCACCTACCTAAATATTTTTACTAGCAAAGATAGAAGTACTTTTTTTAATTGGGCTCACGGATCAAAGCAGAATAGTAAAACGGCTTTCGCGATCGGATTACGTTAGCAGGATAGTTTTTTTTTAATGGCTGATAATGAAATGGTAACCCCACCTACGCTAACGGTATACGCAGCGGGGGCACCAGTGGGGGATGATAAATGAGAATGAAAAGGCAGATTTGTTGGCCCATCGTGATGAATACACCTGGAACTCAGTACGATGGTTTCCAGGGTAGACTGACAGGCTAGCAATGGGAATGGTAGTTCGCATTACTTATAACCTCTCCCCCCCCCCCCCCTCAGCAGGATACTTAGTGGTAGGTAACGTTGTTTATACGTGATTGTTACCAGAGGGCCTACCTATAAAATTTTCCTATAAATAAATAACATTTCATGTTTTCCGAAATTTCGGAGCCAAACGAAACAGAAATTTGATGTTAAAATTACATAATACATGCCGCTTGGTATAAACAAAAACACGAAATTGAGTCCGCAATTTCGGAATTTCATTTCATGGTAGACCCGCAGGTTACCAATTTCCATCTAGTTTTATGATTTAGTTGTACCGTGTTCGTTATTCAAATGGTTCGTCAGCTTCTTTATTATTCTAAGTATCCTAAAGAAGAAACAGAAATACCTAATTGAAAAAACTCAAAACAATTACCAGTTTATTGCTCGTTGTGTGGCAAAAATTCCGTATATTTTCTATAATTTTTTTTTTATTATAATTGCGAAATAAACTATGTCACGTGTTTTCAACAGCTTTCGAAAAGAAGGAGGAAATAATCAAAAAATAAATTTATAACAAGGTTCGTGAAGGTTCTTTATATTTCTTTATAATATATTAATATATCAAGATAAAAACTAAGGTACTATCAAGTTGACAGACAATACACATTTTAAGAAACAGTAGTATAGTATAAGCAAGTTGTTTTGTGTAAATAAAGCCTCAAGTTTAAATCTTGATTAGGTCAATTTAGAAAACGAACTTTCCTGAATTGGCGCGGGTGTGGATTACCGTCAAATGTTTGTTACTCGATTCGTTATAATATAGGATCAATACTAGTTTGAAAACTTATTATCAAATGCAATTATATTTTTATTTACAAAATTTCATTAAAATCGATCAATCCGCTTCAAATATAATATAATAATAATATAATATTGCATATGAAAGAAGCTTCGGGATATAAAGGCTGTTGTATTGTATGTCAATTTCAATGTGATCAACTCCAAGAAACTTAATTAAACTTGACTATTTTAAGTAATATTCTTAATTATTTAATTAATTCAAAAGTCGAAAATAGATTCTTCCTCTGATATATACAGTTCAAATACGATCGGTTAAATATGGGTAAAATCATTGTTATCTTTAACTAAACGATAATAATCGACGAAATGCTGTTTTTTACCTGGCAACATTTATTCAGGGATTACACACTTTTTTATGTTTTCTTTGGGAAGTATTCTATTTACAAATCTCTTTCTCTTTTCATTTAAACATTTTCTCTTGTCGGTACAACTAATTTATGCATTTTCTTCCAGCCAATTCTATTCCAGGTCATATCTTTGACCTCCTTATACGACATGACGTCTAGCATTCCCTTTATCTGCCTCGTGTAATTATTTCTCTATTTATTAACATAAAAATGTTACATTTCTGATTGTTTTATTCGCTGATATCAAGTATTTCTGTTTAGAATTTTTTTCATCCAGTGAATTTTATACACCCCGTTATACGGTATTTTACAAAAGTGATTCTTATTAATTTTTTATTAACCCTTCTGTCGTATCCATTTATTATAAGCTCGGGATGTATAGAAAATGAACACATTTTTTAAGATTTCAAGAAAATCAGACCATTTAGTTAATTAATACATATATAGCCAAATTTTGACAATCATGATCCCGGATTGCTGATTGCTGATATTCTAAACCCTGAATCCTTATGTTAAATTATCAAATGTACTGTACAGATAAATTAATTTGAAAAAAAAACGAAATTTCAAATTGTTCTTACGGTATAAATTTATGTTAGAGCTTTAGCAACATTATATAACGTAGTGACTACTTGCTTTGTGAACACAACTTTAACGTGAAAATTATAACCGCTTCAACCGCATACAACCACATCCAATTTAGATCAGCAGTTTTTGCGTGGTGTATCAATAAATAAACGAACAACCACATTTTTTTAAATTTTATTGTTTTTCGCTTTTATTGTTTTTTTTTTTTTTAGTACGTTTGTTCCGTTTGGAACAGGCTAAGGTCGGAGACCATGCTGCCTAGTCTTCAAAAAGATAAATTGTCTGGAATGCTTTTATTGTTTTGTTCTAATTTTTTTTTCTTAAATATTTATCTCCCATGTTCAGAACAGACATCGTCCTGTTAAAATTTTATTATATTAGTAAAATAACTGTAAAACCAATGATAAAATTATTATAATTATAATTATTATAAATATATATATTATTATTAAAACTATTATAAAATAATATTATGTTTGTATAGATCTAAATTTGCTATGTGTGTGAACAACAGAATGACGACTTAGTGCTAGTGCCATTGCAGGTGATCAATCAATACTGAAACGTTCTTAAAGTACTAATTATATAGTATGTTAATTAACGAAATCCATTCCTTAATCTTTTCACTCCCGGGTACCTATAAAATATTTCCAAATTCGAAAGTATTCAACAGTGGATAGATAACGGTTTTTTTTTGATGGGTGAAAATGGTATGGTAACCCCGCCTGTGCAGGCGGGATACGCTGGCGGAGCACCAGTGAAGGGTGATCGATGAGTATGAAAACAGGACAGTTAGCCCATTATGATGAATTCATCAAAAATTAACCACGATAGTTTCCAGGGAGAACTGCGAGGAGGTCGACCTGGTTGGGTATATTGCTAGCAATGGGATTCTTAGTTTACATTACTAACAATCTCTTTCCCCCCCAAGACAGATATACCCCCAAGACGGTTGATATGATGACGATGATGGTAATGAATCTATAAACAATATTTTCTTCATCTTCTTGTTTTCAGCTCATCGCTTTAATTAGCTTAAATCAAACATACAATGACATTGCAATTTGAAGATGTAGTACGTTATATTGTTTATAGTTTGAAAGATAGATATGGAGTTGTTACGTCTACCTTATCTTAAAGATAACAATAAATATATGTTTTTTTTTTGTGGTTTTTAATGGATGAAAATGAAATAATAACGCCGCGTACGCTATAGGTAAACGCTGGCGGGACACCAGTGAGGAAGAAAACTGGTCATTAGCCATAGTGATAAATTCCATATAATGATAGTTATAACCATGATAGTTTCCAAAACGAACCACATGTTGGATCGATGTAATAGAATATGTTACCAGCAATAGACTTTTTTTTAGACTGCATTGAATTTCTTTTTTCCCATTTTTTTTTAAATTGCTAGTTCTTAGATTCTTAACCGTTTACAGAGTGCATAAGCGTGAATATTTGACACTTAAAAAAATGACATTTGCGTTGCAGGATAACATGTTCATTGCCAACTGACGTTTGACAGTCCAATTTTGACATCTTTGATATTTATAAAAATTTGACGACGCTTGCTTGTTTTAAATTTTTTAATGTTTGTTTTCTTGTTTGTGATATAATTGTAAATGATATATTAAATTAACCCTTATAATATTAATATAGACAGTTTAATAATCTGTGAGCATAATGGCACCGATAGGAAATACTTCTTTAAATGGTAAGTCTACGTGTTAGGAGGTTATGTTCAACTAATATTTTTTTTATAAATTAATTCTTATAAGTTAATAAATTAAGGAGAAATGGTGGAATAGACAAACGGTTCTACCGTCAGTTCGTAAGATTTCTCGATTTATTATTCATATTCTAATTTTAAGATAATTGACTGTAATCTATTAGAATACAATGAAATAAAAAATAAACATATACAATATTTCTTAAGTTTTATCATTATTTAATTTTACTATTATCATATGTCATTTAAAACACACAGAAAATGGTGCAAATTAGGAATACATTGGTAAGAGTTGACTGACAATTTTTTTTCATTATAATTTAAACAAGTAAATTTAGAAAAACTTTTTTTTGTGAAGACTGCATAACATTTATGTTATTAATATAATTTTATAATTAAAAATATAATAGTTCTATAGAATAATTAGTTCCTGACAATATTAACAGATTGAAAATAGCATCAATGTAGAAGTTTTCTCTTAGTTGGGAGAAAAAATACTTTTAATTAAAAGAAAATTTCCTACAGTTCATTAGATTTAAATAAAATATTCGATAACGTTTAAACATTAATTGAGAGCCTCCTTCTTTTTGATGTTACATATGATAGTAATAATAATAAAAAAAAACTTAAATTCTAGATTTGAATTCACCTAATAGATGTCTTTTCATAAGTTATTTACAGGATTTGTGAAATTAACAGAAAATATTTCAAGGCTATGAAGATTTGTTTAATAATATGCACATGTAATTCCACAGATAATTTTTTATATTATTTTATACTAATGAAAATGATATTTTGTAATGAAAAAAAAAAAATTAAACAATTTCTTACTTTTAAGTTTTTTATTTTCTTTTTAATAATTTGTCAGTATATATATTTACAATAGATTTAGATATTTACCTAGAATGGAGTATTTTAAACTTTGTTTGATCTAAAATAGATACTAAACTGAATTAGTATATCTGGACAAATATATCTAGACTTCTAATATGTTTATTACATAGTAAGCAAACTTGAGATTTACTGCTTAGTGTTTATAAATAAAAGTATTTCTTGTCTGCTCTTAGAATTTATTCTCCTAGTATGGTATTTATAGTAAACTAGACTTATTTTTTAATTAGTTGATTTTAATATACCAATTAAAATTGAGAAATTTCTCATTTTTTAAGTAGGTTAGTAAAAAAATTGTGTGTGAATAATTGAAATGAATTTCATTTATACCTAGATAAAAAAACTTCATCATTATATCTTAATGTCATTGAGTCCCATTATATGTAGTTGAGTCTCTTCATATTTTTGCAAAGGGTATTTCATTCTGTGTTGTCTAAATAATCTACTTGGAAAAAATAAGACATTCAATGCAGCTATACATTAGTATTTTCTAATAAGAGTTTACTGGGGAGGGAAAGGGATTGTTAGCAATGAAGTCTGACAGCCCCATTGCTAGCAATATGCCTTATTAGGTTGGCCTCCATGTAGTTCCCCCTAGAAACCATTGTGAATAATTCTTGTTGAATTCGTCATGATGGGCTAACTAATCTACTTCATCCTCTTGTATTATCCTTCACTGGTAACCGGCCGGTGTACACCGATAGTGTGGGTGGGACTACCATTCCATTATCATCCATTACATAATAATTTACTTATGCTGACTTGTTTTATTATTAATTTGATTTGACTTCCTGACTAGAGATCTTTATTTTTATGCATAATAAAATTTATGATAGTTTTTTCTTATGTTTATTATTCAGATACAGATTCGGGTTCTGATACAGACAGTGGAACAAGTGGTAGTCGAAGTAAAAGTCCCAGTCCTGCACCATCAGGCAAAGAAGGCAGTGTGTCTCGGTAAGTGAATTATTCAAAATTTTTATTTCATTGTTTATTCTCAAAACATAGACATTAGATATGTTTTTCTAGGTTTTGTTCATATTTCTATTTATCTGATTATATCTAACATAGATTCTCACCATTTTATTTAATCTGATTTATTATTTTTGCAGGTCGCAATCTCGCAGCCCACCACGGTCTGCTAGTGGATCTCCTAAATCCAATCACTCAGCTAATTCAAATGTTTCACGCAGTAAATCGAATTCTCCTGCTCATTCTAGATCTAGATCAGGTTCACCTGCAAGCCACAAATCTGGCTCTTCCAGCCCCAAATCTCAAGCTACCGGTAGCCCTAAGGACAGAGCATCTCGGTCCAGAAGTGGTTCCAGGAGATCTCGCTCTGGTTCAGGCAGTGCTCGCTCTCGTTCAGCAAGCATGAAGTCGCGTTCAGAAAGTCCAAAATCTAGGCCTGACAGTCCAAAATCTAGATCACAAAGTCCAAAATCTGGATCACAAAGTCCCAAATCTCGTTCACAGAGTCCTAAATCCAGGTCACAGAGTCCAAAATCAAGGTCACAGAGTCCAAAATCTCGTTCACAAAGTCCGAAGTCTCAGAGAGCTAAAAGTCACTCACGTTCAAAGTCTGCTAGCGTTAGCCCTAAAAGTAAAAAATCACGCTCTAGAAGTGGATCATCTAGGTCTAAGAGTCCTGAAGCTAGACAAGACGTCGAGGATAGCAGATCTAATTCCCCAAATCTTATGATAGATGATGACCAGGAAAAGGAAAAATCAAAGAGTCGATCCAGGTATTTATTTTTATATTATTCTTGTAGTGATATTATCATAAAGTGTGTATATACTATATATGTGTAGTGTTAATATCTGCCCAAACTTAGAGATTCAACAATTACATTTTTTTGCATTGTTTAAATAAAGGTTGAGGCATTTGAATTGGCACGTAATTTGAATTATCAAGTAAGAGTATTAATAACTTTTTATAGAAGCATAAACTTGTTTATACAAATCCATAATCTACAAAGTTTGTAATCAAGCAAATGATCCGCTTGCCATAAGCAGCGATCACATCCCATGATACGTTTTACCACAATAGAGGCATCACTGTCTTAATAGGTTTTGACTTAAAGATTTTGAGTATCAATCTCTCATATATTCTGTAATATAATTAGGATCTAATATTGATTTCATTGTCTTATTATCTATTTCAGATCTGGTTCCAGACAGTCTAGGTCAAAATCGCGAAGTAAATCCAAAAGCCGGTCAAGATCCCGATCAAAGAGCTCAAATGTATCTGAGACAGAAATTGGTAAGTTATCATATTTAACATTCAAAATAATGTTTTGTTTCACCAATGTTTTTAAGATCAGTTATTTGTAAAAAGCCAACTAAATTCAGCCGTTTAAATTGCACAGTAGTTATTAGACAACCTGGTTGTCGTAATGCTGAACGCCCATCCCTGATGGTGTTCCTGACTAACTGATATGACGAAGCTTACATGCAGACAGTGATAGGAATCTTTCACTTAGTATTATTAGTAGTTCCATGTTAAAGAGTCTGGCGGTTCTTTGGAGACTTGCCGTGTGTTTACTTAATGTCACACGTAATAACTTATTTTTTGTACACTTTAGGTGATAAAAAGAAACGAGCAGTATTATCGGATTCAGACAGTGAAGGTGAAGGCTCGAAATCAACTATGAAACGTAAAAAGGGTTCTGACAGTGGTTCTGAAACAAGTGATAAACCTAAGAAGAAATCTAAAAAAGTCCTCGATTCAGATGATGAAAATCAGGAAAAAGATGCAGGTAATTAGTGTTCAATTTGAATTTGTATTATATTTTTTATGATTCGTTTGAAGATAACGAATTGCTAGAACAAATAGCTTTTCTAATTTATCTTTTGCATCTTTTTTTATCGCCGTTTGGTCCCGGCATAGAATAGGCCACCCCTTCCTTTTCTGTAAGTGTCGTAAGAGGCGACTAAGAGAACTTAATACTAGACGGATGGACAGCAGCGTCCCTCTCACAACATGCCTAAAAGTCTATCTTAGGGTTGCCAACCCGCCTGCCAAGTGTGACAACTACTGGCAGAATTTCCCTTATGGGGAAGGCATATTTTCATCAGTGGACAGTTAACTGCTGATACAATGATGACAATGATGTTCTTATTTATAGGGCATATTAAAGTATGGCTGAGCTCACCACTTTTTTTTACCATTTTTTATTCTATTTCATCATTTCTGTCGGTATAACGATATCGCAGGCGGGGTTACCACTCCATTATAATCCATTAAATACGTTTTTCTTATACAAATTAAAAAAATATGTTTAATAGTTTGTTATTCTTTTTCTTTACTTCAGTAACGGCGGATGCATTGTTCGGCGACGCGTCGGACATCAGCACAGAAGATGAAGCAGGGAAGCGGTCCCGGTCGCGGTCTCGCTCGCGGTCGCGTTCGCGCAGCCGCAGCGCCGCCAGGTCTGACGACGAGAGAAGATCGGGCGACGAAGCCAAAGGGAGTGGGGATGAGGTATGTCTTTTAAAAAGAATATTAGTAATATTGAATTTTTTTTATTTATTATATTATTTTTTATTTATACTGGACTAACTTTTATCCGCGACTTCGTCCGCTTTGCCGAAATATGTTTATTAACCAGGATAAAAAGTAGCCTATATAAGTATATATGATATTCTCCATCCCATGTACGTGTATACCAAATTTCATAATTACTAGTTAAGCCATTTAGAAGCTATAAGGTAACAAACAAAAGATATCTCAATAAATAACATGATACACCGGCTTCCTTATCTTCCAATTTGGTCTTTTAATATCTTCTTATTTTTTTTCTGATTTATTCATAATATATATTTTCTCTAGTTATGTATCATCATCTCGAGTGACAATGGATATCATTTTGTTGAAAATAGTATGTTTTTCATAATCTTAAGAACGTCAGTAGTTTAACTTATTTTAGCTATGAACGTTTATTATCTTTTCCTATATATCTACAAGTATATTAATTTTTATATAAATTGAGTTTGTGAAACATTACAAAAGGCGTTTTTGATGCTTATGGCATTTTCTTTCAACAAACCTTTGAGAAGAAGCCAGTTTTTTATTATGTATAATCAAGTTTCATATTCGTAAAGTTAATTAGTTTTAAAATACTTTTTAGGAAAACCGAGAGAAGCCTGAAGAAGAGGAGGAACAGGAAATACCGGAGACTCGTATCGACGTGGATATGCCTAAGATATGGACGGAGCTCGGCAAGGAGCTGCACTTTGTGAAACTGCCCAACTTTTTGTCCGTGGAGACGAGACCATATGACCCCAACACTTATGAGGATGAGATTGATGAAGAGGAAACCTTGGACGAGGAAGGTCGAGCTAGGTTAGTAACTTACTACTGTTTGCATTGGTCTGTGTATATTCTATATATACTCGTAATATGTATGTACTTATAAAAAAGAGGTATTTTAATAATTCTGTCATTTCTTTTCTACTATTTAGGAGTAGTGGCGCTGCGTAATGTATCTATTTATTTACCTCTAGACTCTCTATAAAACTTATTTAGATAAAATTTTACATGGTATTGACATATTTCCAGGCTCAACACACTTGGTGAAATTGAAATTACTTGGGTACCTCTGTCCCATTCGTCTTTCAACCGTGAAGCAGTTGTGTTTGCATGGCTGTGTTTCGGTTTGAAGGGTGTCATGGGCGAAACAGTACACTCTGTTATGTCCATGGTACTGCTCATGTCTATAGGCGACGGTTACCACTTTCCATCAGGTGGCCCGTCAGCTTGTTTGCCATTCTAAGTTGCATAAAAAAAAAGTGAAAAAGATCTAAATATTATAGCCTAATAAACTTATGATTATTAACCGACTTAAAAAAACAGCAGGTTCTATGTTCCACTGTATATTTTTTTTTTGTTGTATATCCACCGATTCCTCCATCAATTTGTGGATCGATTGTTAAAATTCTTTTTTTATTCGAAAAAGTTTACTCTTGAGGTAGTCCCATTGTTACTAAATTAGGATCTGTTGGAATCCTACGGAAATCGACGGAAACCATCAAATTTTATATTCTATAATATATTTATATATATGATATATTTTATAAGCACATATATTATATATATATATATATATATATATATATATATATATATATATATATATATATATTCCAAAATTATTCACATATTTGCATCCACTAGTCATCATGTCATATTGCTGAACTGATTTGAATCTAAATTAAATATATATATATATATATATATATATATATATATATATATATATATATATATATATATATATATATATATATATATATATATATATATATATATATATATATATATATATATATATATATATATATATATATTTATGAATTTAAATTATACCATTGTATATTATTTATCGTTACCAGACTTAAACTCAAAGTGGAGAACACAATACGGTGGCGTACATCATTCGACAAGGAGGGCAACGCTATCAAGGAATCAAACGCGCGGATGGTCAAGTGGTCGGACGGCAGTATGTCGCTGCATCTCGGCTCTGAAATATTCGACGTCTACAAACAGCCGCTGCTCGTGAGTTGACATTGTGTATGCCTTATTTAAGACTAAAGACAATTTTCTTTTTAAATATTTATACAAGATTTTATTTAAAAATATTACATGCATACAAATAATATAAGTTAAGCCCAAAGAAAGTCCAAAGGATAAGTAAGCTTAAGTGGCAATGGACTAATCGCATAGCTCGAAGAACCGACAACCGATGGGGAAGGTTCTTGAGTGGCGACCTCATACGGGCAAACGCAGTGTAGAACGACCGCCCACTAGATGGAGTGACGACCTCAAATGCATTGCAGGGAGTTAATAGATGCAGGTGGCTTAGAACTGTCACTTATGGCAATCTGTGGGGAAGGTCTATGTTCAACAATGGACAGATGGTGACCAATAATATCGTCATAGTCGTAGAATACTGACGGATCTATATATATAATATTTGTCAGATCCGTCAGTATTCTACGACTATGACGATATGTATATGACATCTACTTTTTTTTTATACAACTTAGAATGCTAACAAGCTGACGGCCTACCTGATGGAAAGTGGTAACCATCGCCCATAGACATGAGCAGTACCATGGACATAACAGAGTATACTGTTTCGCCCATGATACCCCCATGCGTTGGCATTCCTAAGGACTCAGGTGTTATTCCTCCGTACCTAGTAAATTCACGCCATATCGCACCCTTTAAACCGAAACACAGCCATACAAACACAATTGCTTTACGGTTGAAACACGAATGGGACAGAGGTACCCGACTTTTGTACAAAGTTTCCCTCTGGTAAAGTGTGAAATAAACATTTAATGAGTCATTTTATTTCCAGGGTGACCATAATCACTTATTCGTCCGTCAAGGTACCGGTCTGCAAGGGCAAGCGGTGTTCCGTACAAAGCTATCGTTCCGGCCTCACTCCACGGAATCGTTCACGCATCGCAAGATGACGCTGTCCCTCGCAGACCGCTCCACAAAGACGTCCGCTATAAAGATACTGTCGCAAGTTGGCGCTGATCCTGACGCTGACAGGAAATATCAGTTGAAGGTATGTTGTACAACATTTTTATACATTTTATATGATCTCAGTGGTGTAGTGATTTTGTTGACTTTTATTGACTTAGTATTCAGATGATCGCGGGTTCGATTCCCGAACAAAATAATTGTTTGTATTCATGTGTATGTCTGTTCGTATTGGTCTTGTATTGGTCTGCTATAAAAAGTTGGGAAACAACAGTTACATCCTTATTAAATATTATAAATATGAAAGTAAGTTTGTTTGTTATCTAATATAGCCTTAATAACTTAACAAAATTTATACACGTACTATATAGAACAGAAAAGGCTTAAAGGCTACTTTTTATCCTGGTCAATAAACATAACCGATATAAAATATACACAGGTTAGCAACTGTAAAGAGTAAGGGTCGCAAAATATTTTATATACTATTGGAATCACGTCATGAAAATGCTTGAAAAACACTGCCTAGAGTGTCAATCCTCTATAAAGAATGTAATTATAATAGTATAATGCCTTATTTATTCCAGAAAGAGGAAATGGAACTTCGCGCAGCGATGCGCTCTCGGCCGTCGTCGCGGCCCAAGCGGCGGGCGGGCGGCGGCGCGGGCGGCGGCGCGGGCGGCGCGGCGGGCGCCGGCGGCCGGGGCGCCGCCCGCGGCAACGACGACTCGGAGGACGAGGGCGGAGTCTCACTGCAGGCTATTAAGAACAAGTACAAGCAGGGACAAAAGGGTATGTCTTTTTTTTTTAATGGCTGAAATGGCTTGATAATCCCGCCTGCGCCATCGGTATACGCTGGCGGGACACCAGCGAGAGGTAATAGGTGAAGATGATAAGGCAGGTCAGTTAGCCCATCGTGACGAATTCAACGATAGTCACGTGACGTGGGACTAACCTCCTCATTACTAACAATGCCTCCCCTGGGGGGAAAGGGATTGTTAGTAATGGAGACTGAGAATCCCATCACTAGCAATATACCCAACCAGGTCGACCTCCTCGCGGTTCCCACTGGAAACTATCATGGTTAATTCCTGATGGAATTCATCATGATGGGCTAACTGGCTTGTCACTCTCATCTATCACCCTTCACTGGTGCTTCGCCAGCGTATCCTGTTAGCGCAGGCGGGTACCATACCATACCATTTTCACTCATAAAAAAATAATGCCTCCCCCCCAGGATATGTCTTTATACTCGTATACAATTTGTCATCGTCATATCAGCCGTTAACTGGCCACTGCTGAATATCAGCCTCCCTCTTAGGAATTGGCAATAGTCATCCAGCTTGGTAGGTTGGCATCCAGTTTTTACTACGCTTGGCAGGCGGGTTGGCAACCACAGCTAGGCCATGATGATATTTTAAAAAGAACGCTGCTGCCCATCCCGTACCTATTAAGTTCCCTTAGTTGCCACTTACGACACTCACAAGAAAATAAGGAGTGGTCTATGCCATCAGTAATCTATGCTACGATACCATGGCAAAATATTATAATTTTATTCTAATTTATATGGGATATAGCTAATAAATTGAAAATCTATTCCAGCTTCAGCAGGCGCCGCGATATATTCGTCCGAATCCGAAGGGTCGGACGTGGAAAGACGTGCTCGGCGACTCGATCGTGCTAAAGCGCTCAAAGATTCCGACTCTGAGGGCAGCGGCGCAGGCGGCGGCGGCGATACCCCTACAAATGCTCGTAGCGGTAGCGGCAGCAGGAGCGGAAGTGGTAGCGGTAGCGGGAGCGAGTAACCTACAGTGTAATCTGCAGTATCACTACTTAAACTTTAAAGGTAAATTTACATTGGATTTGTCATCGGCATAGATGGAGAATAAGAAGTTTTTGTACTTGCGAGACAATAGCGATTTACAAAATTTTTTCTTCGTTTTTTCTTGTAATTATTTTATAAAAAAAGTTTACAATAATATTTATATTTAGAGATGTTTATAAAGCATCTTTCAATAAAATTATATTTAAATTATTGATTATGACAAAGAAACAAAGAAAATGTTATAAATCGTGCTTTATCTGGAAAGAATAAAAAATATTCTACTTAAGTCTCGTAAGTAGGGCCCGACCAAGAGAGTAGCTTTGCGGGAAAAATGCCAAGAGCGGTAAAATTAAATCACTCCGAGTTAACGTGGTCACTCATCATTGCCCGAAGCGGCATTAATTAATTTTTATTCGTAGTGGCAAAATTCTTACATCACATTCCGAGTATTTGTCATTCAATATTAAGGCAGCATATACTTGCTTTTGCCCAAAACGGCAAAATTATATCAGGCCCCGAGCACGAGTTAGTTTTCAATGTTGACATTTTCGCCGTTTGACTCGATGTAAATTTACCTTAAGTTTTGTAATCGTTCTAAAATCCGAGTATACAATTTAATAGAAGTACCAGTTTCATTCAGTTTTATAACGAAAGTGAACTGTACAGACATGTGTTTTTGCTTGAATGTGTAAAATGAAATTTGTAAGTTATGACTGTATTTAAAATATTAAGTAATGTAAGTATTCTATTAAGTTGTAAATATAAATAATGACATAATTTTTTATTTGTTATTTTTAAACGATATGTCTTTCACACTCTTAGAAATATTGAAAATAGATTCAGGGTTCTAACACTTAGTGAGATTTTTTTATGGAACGGTAGCCCCGCCTGCGCTAACGGTATACGCTGGCGGAGTACCAGTGAAGGGATGATGAGAATGAAAAGGTAGGTCAGTTAGCTCATCGTTGTGTCTTACCTGGAAATAAGTACGATGGTTTCCAGGGGGGACCATGTCGAGGTCGACATGGCAGGGTATATTGCGAGCAATGGAACTGGTAGTCAGCATTACTGATATTCCCTTCCTCCCCCGCTCCCCCCGCCCCTATACCTAGTGGGGTGGTGCACTCCTACAGAAGTCAAATAGGTCAGTGACGGAGGCACAACATCTTAGTCCTTGGAAATGACAACGTATCAGAGGTATTATGGACATAATAGTGTATACTGTTATGCAGCTATATAATGTAATCGCAGCGACAAATATCGCGCTGATTGTGCAGTTACCGTCGAGACTCAGTCATGAACCGCGCTCACAAATAAAGACTTATTATCCTATTGCATTGGAAACTAGTTAAGTATCCCTGAATTCAAAACGTAAATAAAACGGCGATAAATAATTCATCATCATAATATTAGGGGTTAACTGCCCACTGCTAAACATAAGCCTTCCTTATAAATGAAGTTTTTCCAGTAGTTGCCACGCTTAGCAAGCGGGTTGACAACCGCAGTTAGGTTAGTTAATTTTAGTTATGTTTTAAGAGCGACGCTGCTAAATAAATACTCATTACAGTTCCTTAATCGCCATTTACAATACCCATGGGATAGGAACGGGTGGCTCATTCTGTGTTGGGACTACATGATAATACCCACGTTGTTACATATATGTACATAATTAAAAAAAATCTACTTTATGTATATTTTAAATATGCTAGTGTTTCATAAACAATTCGTCCCACCCCCATTATCCGCCACATGCCTTCGTCGTTCTTTGTTATATTCTTAATAACATAACCACATGTATCCCAATTGATCACGTCCCTCTCATAGTATCTATCGTAAGTGGACACGGGGGCAGTCAGCTCGCAACTGGTTAAGTCCCTAATTGGATAGGAGAAGCTGAAATGGAATGTATCCTCAGTCCGAGATTTTGTTCTTCGCACACTGGCCGTCACCGATTCTGAAACGATAAAATAAATAAGTAAATAAATATTTTTTATATTCTACAAAAAAAGAACATTGTGGTAAAATCGTTTTTTTTTTTTCTAATTTAAAAACTAAACTACTTAAGCGATATTGATATATATCATTTGAGATAAAAAAAAATCAAATCAGTTCATAAATGACGAAGATCTGAGGTAATAAACAAATACAATCGAATTGATAACTTTATACGTTTTTTTGAAGTTGGTTAAAAAAATAAACATTATTAATGGAGATAAAATAAAAACAATAGATAAATGTAAACAAATTAAATATGTTAAACTGACTTTATCATCATCTGACTCGTTGATAGATCCCCAGAAATTACCACTACCATTTGGGGTTTGGAGTAATCCAAACCCCAAATGGTAGTGAAAAGATTAATTTACTCACCTATTATTTTAATTGTTATAACTTGAAACATTTCTAACCACTCATCATTCAAATCTTTGTAATATAAACATAACACCCAATTGCCATGATCATTTTCACCCAGTGGCCCTATCATAAAATCATTTAAATTCATTTCCTTTTCATTTTTAGCGAATAAGTCAACGTCGTCATCACCTTTATTCTTCACACTAAATACTCTATAGTTATATAATGGCGATACAATAGCTCTTTTTGCTTTTTTCGTGTATTTAATAACAATGAAACTGTATTTCTTTTCACCGGTGTCTTGAACATTGTTGCTATGTGCATAATTCGGATGGGTGATGTTTAATTTTAGAATGCCGCCATTCGGACGGTACAAATAGTAGTGCACGTCTCTCTGATCGATTACTGGTGCAGATATTATAACAATATCGTTTAGGCTGCACGTTATTAAAATTGGTGTCAGCTCTGTCCTCGTTTTAGCTGTAATCAAATAATTTAATACATACATACAAATCTGTCACGCCTGTCTCCCATTAGGGTAGGCAGAAACAATGGAACGCCAAATGCTTCGATTCAAACAAACCTCTTTCGCTTCTTCCACATTCATCAATCTTTTCATACACGCTCGCCGGTTATGGGTACTTTTAATTTGGCCCTTCTTCAGCACGTCGCCTATTTGGTCGACATACGTCCGTCTAGGGCGGCCCCTCCCGACATCTCCATTCATTCTTGCTCGATATCAAATAATTTAAATAATAATAATTTAAATTTTAATAATAATAAGAAAGTTTCACAAAAAAAAAAAAAAACACCGAATTCAATCGTACAAAACCAGTTATATTTTGATTTAAAAAATAAACTACTGCATCGGTTTTGATAAAATTGCTATAGGACTAAGCTAAGAAAAGCATTTTTTTTAATGGGTGATAATGGAATTGTAGCCCCACCCGCGCTATCGGTATACACCGGCGGGGCACCAGTGAGGATGATAGGTGAGGATGAAGCAGGCCAGCTAGCCCACCGTGACTAATTCAACAAGAATTGTTCACGATGATTTCCAATGGGGGAACCACGTGGAGGTCGACCTGACAGGATATATTGCTAGTAATGGGGCTATTTGACCCCATTACTAACAATCCCTTTCCCCCCTAAGGAAAGCATTTGCTTTGAAATAATATTTTCCAAATCAGTTTATAAATGATAAAGGTGTGAGGTAACAAACATAAAATCTACCAGAGGGAAAGGAGGAGGGCTACCAGAGGGAGACTGTACAAAAGTCGATTGCTTGGGTACCTCTGTCCCACTCGTGTTTCAACCGTGAAGCAGCTGTGTTTGCATGGCTGTATTTCGGCTTGAAGGATGGGATATGGCGTGAATTTACTGGGTACAGAGGAATAACACCTGCGTCCTCAGGAATGGCAACGCATGGGGGGGTATCATGGACGAAACAGTATACTCTGTTATGTCCATGGTACTGCTCATGTCTACAAGCGACGGTTACCACTTTCCATCAGGTGGGCCGGCAGCTTGTTTGCCATTCTAAGTTATATATAAAAAAAATTACAATTTATGATTGTGATCTACAAAAAAAAGAAACTATATAAAGAAAAATAGGAATATAAGTAGGAATGATGCATGGAATCATAAATGGAATTTTTAATTAGCGTATGCTACGTACGACTTTTTAAAGGCTTGTAAGAGTTGCCCAAGATTATGATATCGTTGATATCATATCTACTTTGAAGATATCTAGGTCAGCATTAATACGATAATATTTGAATAAATACATAAATTTGAAAATGACGTTACACAGGCAGATATAGTCACGAATTTAATCAATTTTTAAGCGGCTTCAAGAATATTCTCTATTTGTCTGGATTTTTGACTACATTGCGTAAACCGATTTTGATAATTCTTTTTGAAATCAATTATATATTTTTGGTACCGTATTTTGTAACGATTGAGGTCAACGTTTTTGTTTGTGAAGCAAACAATTGCATGTTGCAAAACTAAATCTACAGTCACACAATTCCATATTCTAATTTCGATTATTTTTAACTAGCTTTTTGCGCGTTGCTTTGTACGCGTGGATTAAAAAAAAATTAATTATAATCTAAGACCGCACGTATATGCAAGTATACGTCATAAAAATAAATCCTTATTCGTATGTACACGGCTTAATCTGAAGAGAACTTTTGTCTACCACGAACATGTCCGTCGTCTGCGCACACTTTAAGTAGTAAAAAAAATATATAGACGCTCGATTACACTAAAACTCGATTAACATAATCATTCGAGTATAACATTAATCGACAAAGCAATACGTACAAATAATTTCAGGAATTGTATATTGATTCACCGTCACACAATTTATATTCGATATTATATGATTGAACATGATTATAGTAACCACAGTAGAGTACATTCCTTCGGGTGTCTTATAGCAAACTGATATCGAAAACAGACATAAACAGCCGGCCACTGATATGAACATACTTCTACAATTTTGTTTGCAGTACATTTAAGTCGGCACTTAAAATACGCTATAAAAAATCTTTTGCTATTTACATTGTACAGACAAGCAATTAATGTCAGTGTATTATTTGTATAATATTTTGTAATAATATATTACAAATATTATAATTACGTATATTATATAGTTTAATGTAAAAATATTAAAAATTAATTTTAATATATTTTTTCTAAAAATAGATCGATAAATGTTAAAAAAAAATTGTAATAGTATAAGATATTAAATTACTAAGTTGATAAGGAGGTTCAACATTTTTAACCGACTTAAAAAGAAGGAAGTTCCCAATTCGGTTGTATTTTTTTATGTTTGTTGTCTTTTAACACCGTCAGTTATATTATTAAATCGATTTGGAACTTTTTTATTTAAAATTATATACTTGCAGAAGTTTTCTAACTTTGCATAGAAATTTTATCAAAATCGATTTATTGCATCGATAGTTTAGTTTCCAAATCAAAAAGACTGGTATTGCCAGAATTTAAGTCAGATTTTTTGGGAAACACAATGTAAATATATTGTCATTTTAGTATTTTCGTTTCACAATATTTTTGTTAAAACATTAGTTTCATTCATTATATAACATTTTAACATATTAGGGTCATATTCACCCCATATATATCACTAGAAAGAGATTTTGCACAAAAGTAATTTACTAGGGTACTTCTGTCACACTTGTATTTTTGAAGTTAAAGTTTGAGATATAACAGTTAAATTACAGGATACGGAGGCAAACATCTGAGTCCTAAGGAATAGCAACATGTTAGGAGATTGACATACCTATGTGATATGTTATGTTTTATCCTTATTCGTCCAGGCACAGACGTGGATTCAACTACAAATAAAACAAAAGACATCATCATCCCATCCATCCATCATTCTACCCTTATCCCAATTAGTATTTGGGGTCGGCAAAATATGTTTTTTATGCCTATTATAAAAAGATTTGGCTTATAGTTTTACAAGCGGCCGCCTGTCTGACGTCAACCCTCTTTGGAAATAAATAAAATAAAAGGCAAATAAGAAAAAATAAATAAAGATAATATAATTAACAATTAATTAATTTAATTGCCGGCATTGGCGGTATCAACAATCCATTTCCAGTACGGGCTCGTTCTGGTATTTAGACTCGGGTACCGCAGTGATGCACACTCGTTTGACCAAGAATGTATGCCGACTACGCCACCGTTCACCACAATCGGACTTCCAGCACCACCCTGCGATATTGAAATAATAATAATAGATACTCTTTATTGTTTCCTCCAAAAGATTAGAATAGTGAACTTATCTATCTATACTTATAATAAATCTGTAGAGAGGTCAATTCTGTACATGAAATATATTTCCAAAATAACTATCAGGGGGTAATAAGTGATCGATACTGATGCCAAAAATGCAATCAGTAAAATTTTTGTCTGTCTGTCTGTCTGTCTATATATTCGTTATAGAAACAAAAAGTACTCGACGGATTTTAACGAAACTTGGTAGGATATTCTTCATTCTCCTGGGCAGGTTGTAGTATACTTTTCATCACGTTACGAACAATAGGAGCAGAGCAGTGAAGGGAAATGTTGGGAAAACGGGAGGAGTTACTCCATTTTTAAGCTTCCGTCGCGTGTGCAGCCTTAATGGTCACTTTTTAAAATGTAAAATATCCACTAATGCGAAGCCGGGACGGGCCGCTAGTTATAAATATAAACAATTACAAGAAATAATCACAATGAGACAACAATGGGCGACCTTATCGCTAAAAGCGATCTCTTCCAGGCAACTTTTGGATGGAGAGGAGTAATTTTATAAACAGTTTGATCGGAGTCACAATGAATTTCTATTCTTAATATAGAAATATGATACATGTAATAATATAAAATATATCTCTACTCATTATATACACTTATATACTATTACATATATACACACATACATATACATACATACATACATATACATATATACATACATACATACATGCGTATAAACATCTACACAGATACATAAAAATATATAAATACTGCTTACATGTACAGTCAACCCTCCTATAACGCGGTGAGTGCGTACCGCGTTATATGGAAACCGCGATATAAGAAACTCAGAACTAGTACAATACACATCATTCGTACCGCGTTATAATATAGAGACCAATAAATTCCAAAGACAAGATAAATTATAAATTATTTTTATTGAATTGAAGAGTTTATATAAGGAAATGATACAAAAAAATGAAACAAAAACTAAACTAAACTAAAAAACTGTTTTCCAACAAAAACAAGAAAGGCTTTTGTAAAATTATGTAATCATTCAACACTCATCCTCGCTGCCAGATATGAGTCGCCTAACTCGTCTTCTTTTAATGGGCAAAATGTCTTCCTCACTTGGTTCATCTTCACATTGTTTTTCGATTATAGCTTTTTTTTTCTAACTCTACTGTAAACCTCTATAGGGAGCTAAGCAATTTCTTAATTCTCTTTTAAACTTTGCGCTGCGCACCGTTGAATGATCAGTTTGAATGAAATGTAGTTCTAATTCTTTAGCCAAATTTAGCCCTTTTTCACATCTTGTCAATCGAGATTTGGCACCCATTCGTTTTCCTTATTTTCATTTACCAATGCATTTGAGGTGGGTGCATCAATTAATTCAATTAGTTCTTCTTCATCTAAAGTTTCTTCTCCGAGTACTAGTTCTCTTACATCCTCATGGTTTACTGCAAATTCTTCATCGCTTAAACGAGAAGCAATGTTTACTAATTCTGTAACTGGGAGTGAAATTGTAGACTCATCTTGTGTTGCTATCTTATATTGTAAACATATCTAGTTACTAGAGTCATTCAAAGGCTGCGCGGAAGGAACTTATGGGATGCTCTTGAACGGAAACCGCGTTGTAAGAGTACCGCGTTATAGGAGGGTTGACTACATAAGACACTAACTTATAAAATGAAATGTTATCTGTATTTAAAATTGGCGTCAGTAATTGTTCTCTGTAACCGAACACTTACTGATTACGTCACATCGGGCGACGCATCGCCATATTATCAATCAATCAATACAAATAAAATCGTAACTGGTCGCTGTCTGTACATAGAAGATATATAAGAAAAACTATTGTAAAAGAGCTTTGTGAACACAATGTGTTTGTCTGTATGTTTGTGCGCGCTAATTTCAGAAACGGCTTAACTTATTTGAACGCGGTTTTCACTAATGCATTGTGGTTTATTTCATTTAACATTTAGTGTTTGTATTATTTCAATCGATTCATAAATAAAAAAGTTATATTAATCTAAAGAATCACATACAAAATGCTATAAAATCACCGATCACTTGAATTGGCTGAAACTTTATGAAGATACTAGATATGTAATTACCATTTAAGTGTATAATACAATATAAAATCAAATTCATGAAGAGTTCCAAGGGGAATAATATACAGCAGGGGTTCCTAAATTTATTTCGTCTACTGCCCTCTTGAGAATAAATTATTTTTTAGCGCCACCACTTTTTCACCTACTTAAAAACCACTATTACTTCAAGATTAATAAATCACCCCCCAAGCCTGTACACAATGCCCTAATTTTTTTTTCTGGGTCTCTTACCGCCCCCCCCCCCCCTCTTTATGCCTACAGCGCCCACAAGGGGGCATTATCGCCCACTTTGGAAAAGGCTGATATACAGAAACTACATAGAAGCGAACAACGACGCGAAAAATAGCTAGTTTTCTAATAAATATATTAGTGCATATCATGATGCGCCATAAACCAAGTGCATTCGAACATTAACATTTTGTAATATCTTCAGGAGAAGTTGGGAATAATAACAAAGTATTTTAATAATCATCTGCAAACCCAACAAACAAACCCATATCCTCAGAAGAGGGAAAGTATTATAAACAATGGGGTCATGGCTTCATTACAAGCACCATACCAGGACAATATGTCAAGTCGAGAAGTTTCGTAAACACGGTTACCATCATCATCTTCCTACGCTTATCCCAATTATTATTTGGGGTCGGTGTAATATGTTTTTTACCCATATTACAAAAAGGTTTGGCTTATAGTTTTACGACCGGCCGCCTGCCTGACGTCAATCCACTTTGAGAATGCATTTGTTGGTGGTTTCAGTCACCTACGGTATGGAGAAAAGGATTAAGGAAAAAGGGAAGGAAACGTTGGAAATGTGTAAAGGAAGTTGGTAAATATGAGGAATAAGGGACTTATGTGGGAAAGGAAGGGGGGGGGGACACTGCAGTTGCGGAAAGGACTGGAACACTGCAGCGGCTCGGAGGAGGTCGCATACCCGTATGCCCTTATTCTAGAATCAGATAGATTACGGTTACCATTCGATTACCACTTACCTTCACCTATACCTACAATAACTAAATCATCATACTAAACTCATTTTAGTAAAATAAATAAGTTCGGATATCTCCATCTCGTATACCTGCTATGAAACAGCTGTACTTACAAGAACATAATTCTGTTTTGATATGAAGGAATGGGCCACCGCTTCCTTTCCCGAGGGTGTCGTAAGAGGCGATTAAGGGAACTTAATTGTAGAGGGATAAGCAGCAGCGTCCCTCTTAAAACATTACCAAAAGTCTAACTGTCGTTGCCAACCCGTCTGCCAAGCGTGGCTACTACTGGCATAAGCCCCCTTATGGGGGAGGTCTATGTCCAGCAGTGAACAGTTAACGTCTGATATGAATGTTAAAGATAATAAAAGATATGATATGGCAGTGAAATTACAAGATACGGAGATATAAGTCATAGTTCTCAGGCATGACACTGCATAAAAGCAATCATGGGCACCTTATGGGTATACTGTGTTTACGATGTTGTTAATATTAATAGGTGATGGTTACCACATGCCATTAGGTGGGCCGTCTGCTATATATATATATATATATATATATATATATATATATATATATATATATATATATATATATATATATATATATTCTTTATTGCACTTAAACAATATATGCGACGATTAGTTTAATATCTTGTTAGCAAGGGAGGGCTTATCTCTGAAAGAGATCTCTTCCAGCCAACCCAGTGTACTTAGAGAGAAAATAATTTAATTTGGGTAATCCATGTATGCCATTTTAAGGAGATGTTTCGTGTAGAGGTGAAACACGAGTCGCAAAACGTGCGTGGACTGAATAACGGTTGGAGATTAATGGCTAATATGGATGATTATAGAACTTCTGGTAATAGTAATAGTACTCAATCTTTGAATGTTAGTAGTCACACATATACTTGTGGTAGCGGAATTAAACATAATAATTCTAATCAACTAACCAGTGATATGGACTTCCGCAAAATAATGCCTAGTTTAGTAAAATATTTTAGGTAAAATAAAAAAAATTATACATCTAAAAAACATTTGCCTATTTTCTTAAGTAGTCAGGTAATAAGCAACTATTCTACAAGTATTCTATACCCATTAGACATACTTACTGAAATTTCTTTTTAGTTCTAATTTATTGTAGCTTAGTTACCTCGGAACATTGGCCAAATACACCAACATCCAGCCAACCGAAACAGATCATGTTATCGGTAACTGCGAAATTTATATCTTGATATCGAACAGCACATGTTTCTTGGTCTATCACGAACGCTGAAACGTGATGAAGCTGCTCAGTGGGTTCTGACGCCTGAAATTTGTAATAACTTTTTTTATTGCATGATAATGGTATACCCAGCTTGGCCAACGGTATTCGTAATAGGACACCAGTAAAGAATGATAAGTGAGGATGAAAGCGGGTCAGTTGGCATATCGTGACAAATTCATAAATGATTAACCTAGATATTTTTCAGGTGGAACCATGTGGAGGTCAAAAGTTAGTCTATCTGCTATTTCAATTTCCATAAAGAAAAAAACACAAAGATGCCCATATCCAATACCATATTAACAAAAAGAACTTTCCTTTATCATCCATAGTTCCGGGCATACAGTTAGCTGAAATATCATTTAATTAATACAAATTCTTTTTTATTTTCGATTGACTGCATTCAGTACCGACTGCATTTAGTCCCGCCCGTTCCAACTGGACGGTGTGGTCACTTGTGCTACTATAAAAAAATATATTATACTTACTTTAGCTGCACCCCATCCAATAGCGCTAATAGAATTCCTGGGTGCAATTGTAAACGCCCCACCAGCAATACGGGCCACCTCCACCAAACCCGGGACCAATTCAATAAACGATACTGTCCTCAAGACGGCGATGTTGTTGTCCCTAGTAGTTAATTCGAAGTCTGGATGTGCTGTGATTAGCCTAATTGTGTAGTTCCGGCCATCGGTGCTTACAAATGAAGAGCCCACTCTGGCTCGCCAATCTCCAGGGTTGTACAGTCTGATATAAAGAGACATAGAGAAGATGTTTATTTTTTTATGGGTGATAATGAAATAGTAACCCGACCCGCGCTATCGGTATACACCGGCGGGGCACCAGTGAAGGATGATAAATGAAGATGTAACAGGTCACGCCATCGTGACGAATTCAACAAGAATTTTTCACGATCGTTTCCAGGGAGAACCACGTAGAGGTCGACCTAATAGGGTATATTGCTAGCAATGGGGCTGTCAAACTCCATTGCTAATAATCCCTTTCCCCTAGAGAAAATGGTTGACCATGACCAGCAGTGGCAGGTATGTAAAATTTTACGGATTTGTAACATTTCTAATACAATCGAGCCGATATTTACTAATAGGATACTTTGTACAAAAGTCGATTACATAAGTACTTCTGCCCCTTCATGTTTGCTACTGGAAAGCAGCAGTGTTTCGATTTGAAGAATGGAATGTGGTAGCGAAATTATAGCTATTAAATTTATGACTGTAGGAGAGGATTACTAGATTACTTTCCTTCAGGTAATTTGTCAGCTTATTTACCATTGCTTGCTCAAATTCTATGAATTATATTATTATTTTAGTATTATGATTAAATCTGTGTGGTCCTGGCATAGAACAAGTCACCCCTTTCTTTCCCGTAGATGTCGTAGAACTACTGGTAAAACTTATGTTGATATGGTGACCATTATTATTAAGTGTATCAGTATGTACTCAAAATGTTTGCATTGTATGAGGATCTAATCTAGCATCATCGGAAGATAAGGAAGTGTGTTGAACGACTACCACCATCTAGATTATCGTGGTATGATATTCGTATTTATAATTTTTGGAGATTCATTCAAAGGTCTGTTGGATTCTACTCACGCTCCATTGGCAGTGTAGAAGCAGGAAGCGGCTGACAGTAGAGCGGTGGCTGATAGCACTACACCTCCACATGTTTGATCGGCGCCTGATCCGGTATATTGCAGCGAAGCGGCGTATGGATACTCTGTTATATTTACCGCCTCACCGCCCGCGATATATTGGGCTGCGAATTCATTAATCATAAACTTTAATAGTCGTAAGGAGACCCATGGGGAATTTGATTCTAACTGATTGCTAAATCCCATTACTATCAATCCCTTCCCCCACCCCTTCTATTATATGTTGCATCAGTTTGTTTGCTTTTTATATAACACTGTAAAGATACGAGTACGAGCATATCGTTTTGAAATTTTTTGGTTTCAAAGGCTGAGAATTAATACGTTAATTTTAAAACTCATTACGTAAATTTAAGTCAAAATGTTTTTAAGAAATTTCATAATTTCACATCATGGGAACGAAATAACGGAATTAAATAACCAGTTAATATAATATAAAATCACTTACCCTTGCCATATGCGATGAAACAAGAAAACAATAAAAAAGTATACACCTTCATTTTATTAGTTGTTTACGACTTTCATGACACGATATAAACTAATACCACGTAGCTTGTTATCATTAAATAATTTACCTATATCGCACGATTAAAATTCAAAATAAGTACAATGTTATGGATTTATTATTAGAGTTCCCTAATGCGTTACGATAAATAATCGTCATACTGATATCAAAACATGTAATGGTACCTATATAGTACAATCCTTACTAATATTACTAACTAGCTTTTACCGGAGGAAAGGGATTGTTAGTAATGGAGACTGAGAATCCTATTGCTAGCAATATACCCAACCAGGTCGACCTCCTCGCGGTTCCCTCTGGCAACTATCATGGTTAATTCCTGATGAATTCATCATGATGGGCTAACTGGCCTGTTTTCATTCTCATCTATCACCCTTCACTGGTGCTCCGCCAGCGTATCCCGTTAGCGTAGGCGGGGTTACCATACCATTTTCACCCATCAAAAAAAAAAACTAGCTTTTACCCGCGGATTATCTATATAATAATGCGACAATTACTCTTTTTGTTTTCAATGTACTTAATCCAAATTTTGTCTCTAGAAATGATCTTCTAAGAGATTATCTTGAAGTATAAAAAAAACGAAAACTAACTTTCTTCTTATTAAAATATACTATATTAATGATGCAATAAACTGTAAAATAAATAAATATAATTAAAGTTCATGTAAACACCTGCTAAAACAATCTGTAAGTATATTCCATTCAGATAGAGGGAGACTACAAAAGTCGATTGCTTGGGTTCGTGGTATTGCTCATGTCTTTAGGCGACGGTTACCACTTTCCATCAGGTGGGCCGTCACCTTGTTTGCCATTCTAAGTTGTATAAAAAAAAATCTAAATCGATTCTAATTAAAAATTAATGTTAATAAATAGTCCTCTCGTGAAAATGCTCTCCGAGAAGACTAGATCACTATTAGTATTTAAGTATTAACATAGTTTTTAAGTACACTTACTAACAAAAATGGATCCAAGTTATCTAAAAATAAATAAATAAAAAAAAATATATGTTATTGATATGTTTGCTTTCTGGCAAAAGCCTCTTTCAATTTCATCCACTTTTGTCTATTGTGATTTATATTCATCTGTGACACATTTTGTCTGTCATATGCACAAATGAATAACTCTTACTTTTATACCCTTTGTTAGTCTCTCATATTTTTTTTCAGGATTGGATTATCTGTACATATTAAAAAAAATACAAGCAAATTGAGAACCTCCTTCACTTTAAAGCCGGTTGAAAATGTATTTAATCGACTATTAACTATAGCCGAATAGTAATAAGTAGACACAAAGAATATAAAAAAATATGTACTTATCGTTTATAGACTTTACGGCCAAGAAGAGACGGAACCCTTATTACTATTAAGAAATTATCACATTGAAATAACTGATATAGAGTGATTAATATAAAGGTACATTTCTTTAAAAAAAATGATAAGATACAAGTGTTGGTACATTGGTCTCCCAACGCTAGGGATTAATGATAACAAATAGATTATTTTTCAAATAATCAATGTTAAATATTTCTGTTTTAAAACAATTGATAATATTAGCTTGAATTAATTTTTTTACTGTACTAGGTGTTACCTTGCGGTAGTACATATCACCGGTTATTTAATTAGAACTATTTTGTTTATTTCCGCATGTGTAATACTGCCAACACTCGAATATTGACCACCACTTCCAGAAGTTCCTCAACCTTCCATATTAGCCATCAAACTCCGACTGCCATTTTGTACACGCACGTTTTGTGACACGTGTTTCACTTCTAAAGGAGACATCTTCAGGCAAATTATTCAATCCCCATTTGAAGCCTAAGCTTAACCGTTTGGCATATGCATTTTGTTGATTTTGCAGTTTGAGTGCCGTAATTCATTACTTTTCAGTAAGGTGTAAAATGATATTTTCACTCTCTCAAATTGGCGCAGGGGGGGGGAGAGGAAGGGATTACAATGAAAAAACCACCTTAATTATTAATTCTATAATTAATTAATGATACCTTACAATCCTGCATCAATTACAGGATAACATAACTAAGTATTAATAATAATTAAAAATCACAACCTTACTTTAGGCATTTACTCTTCAAATGCTTTGTGTCAGAAGTCCATTGCTTAGGCAATAGAATTTATGATCTATATAAGAAAAATTTCATGCTTGTTTAAAAATATCGACCAATTTTATTATTAATTTGAAAAAATATTTATTATTCACCTCGACAAATAGTAGTTTAATTCTACTGTAAGAAATCATTATATATATGCTGACTAACTGGAGATATTTATAAAACACATGAATTCATGTAAATAATTACATGTTATAAACTCAAAAATTATTAATTTCTTATACATATATCTATATATCTTTTTAAATTTTACATAAATCTATTATTCACCTAAATTATATTGCATAATGAGAACGGACTACTGCTTTTATAATTTTATAAAATATAACTTATATTAAATAATCATAATTTTGTAGTAAACAATACTATATGAAGTGCTTATTGTTTTAAAACTCTACATGCTCTAAGAACATGCTTTCGTTGATTAAACTTCAAAGTAAGCAGGTTTCATAATTCTATTTGAGACCGGTTGTGATATGTCATTCTCTACAATATTTTTAACGCATATTTAAATTTCAACATTTTCACTTACACTAAGTTTAATTTTTTTAAAGCTTTTATATCTTTTGTATTTACCAGAGGGAGACTTTGTACAAAAGTCGTTTGCTTGCGCACCTCTGTCCCATTCATGTTTCTATCATGAAGCAGTTGTGTTTGCATGGCTGTGTTTCGGTTTGAAGGGTGGGATATTGCAGTGAATTTATAGTGTACAAAGGAATAACACCTGAGTCCTCTGGAGTGGCAACGTGTCGGGGGTATCAGTATGCTCTGTTATGGCCATGGTACCTGGTCATATCTATATATATATATATATATATATATATATATATATATATATATATATATATATATATATATATATATATATATATATATATATATATATATATATATATATATATATATATATATATATATATATATATATATATATATATATATATATATATATATATATATATATATATCGTGGACCGTCAGCTTGTTTGTCATTTTAAGTTGCATAAATCTAACTAGAGGCTTTGATTTTTTAGCTTTGGCTTTGTATTTAGGTAAAGAATATATCATTCAAATCCCTTCGACTGATTATATTAATTAGTTTACAAATTTTCACATAATATTAATGGTATAGTTAATTCGACAAAACTAGAAAAAAGGAAGAATACAATCAAACAAAATAAGTAAAAACAAAGTAAAAGATTCTAAAGTAACGAATAGAGGACAATAGTATAATTACATACCCAGTAGTTAAAGTGAATTGTGCTACGATTTATTTTACAATTTATAGTTCGTCAAAACAAAAGACAAACTTCTAACGTAAACGTGACGCGTTTACGTCGATAACTTTGTATAGAAATCTAAGTTTCTTAACTTATCCTCTAGAGTCACAGTTTTCAATACAAATTATAGTCTTCAAACGTAAACCAAATAACATAAATCTTTGTTGAACTCATATCAGGTACTGTGCTGAGAAGTTTGTATTGAGAAATTTGTACCTCCCAAAATGACATTTCAAAATCGGCTCCAATACTAATGTTTAAATATAAAACGTTTATTATTAATAATTAAGCAGTAGATGTTGAAGTAGTAATTTCAGTAGTAGAATCGGTTAACGATCTCTTCTGGAAGCTTCCACGAAAACTGTTTCTGACAAAACTTGCTGCGAACGACGTTCTTCGGCGATTATTCTCCGGAATCAGCATTAAAGCCAATGTCAGCAAAATACCAGATACAGCAATTAACATAAGCCAAATTGCATAGGGTTTCACTGGAAGAGAAATTATTAGATATTTAAAATATACTATATTACTGATAGGCGACGGTTACCACTTTCCATTAGGTGGGTCGATAGCTTGCTTGCCATTCTAAGTTGCATAAAAACAAATGCTGTTCAAAAAAATTAGGAACCTTAAAGGGAGCAATATATTGTTTAACTTGGAAATTCAAGCAAACTCTTGACAACTTGAAATCATGAAAATGTTTTAGATTGACCAGAGAGTGATTTAAAAAGTAAGACCAAGTAAAAATTAAGAGATAGAATAATTATATTTGAGAACTGCTTGGCTGTAACAAGATCTATATTGACACTGACGAACGGATTAGAAAAAAAGCTTCCAATTACATTATTTCTTATTTCAATGGAACTTAATGTAAAATTGACAAAATTTTGTTGAAATTATCACAGATATATATATATATATATATATATATATATATATATATATATATATATATATATATATATATATATATATATATATATATATATATATATATATATATATTATATAATTTCAAAAAAATCTTTGAATGAAATTACTACTAATGGACATTAGCAGACAGTCTTATGATCTTATGATCGCATCAATAATTCGTTTCTTTAAATCGTAGATGGGTTATTAAAAATTAAAATTTATCTGAGAAAAATCTTGGTTTTAAAGGCGGCGATAGATTTATCTCCTGCCTCTGTAAATAAAAATATTTGGACAAAAAGACTTATTAACTCAAAAAGACAATTCAATTTCTTTTACCTGTCGCTGGAACAGACGAACTATGTTTTGTGTAATTAGTGACTGCTGATATTTCTGTGGTTTGACCTTGCACTCTGGCGATTACTGTCCATGGCTGCATATCAAATGTGTTAGGTACTTCGATGTGAAGTGAACAAAGTCCCGTCGTTAGTGAGTCGAAACTGTAGTAATATTCAGGCAGGTTTAATGAGGTAAACCCTGTAGAAATGTTGAAAAATGTTAATCATCGATAGTTGTACTCATCAATAGAGACAGCTAAGAGCTTCAGATCCCTTCAGATGGAGCTGTCGAAAGATTAAAACTTTAGGTAAATGGTATAATTCAGAATACTTGAATGCACTCTATTAGCATTTAAAAATATTTTGAGGAATGTTTAATGCGTCATGTTTGTTGTGACTAATCTTTTAATTGCGTAACATACAGATAATAAAAATAGATTAATACATCAATTTCTTATTGATTTGAATCTGTAAATAACCTGTTTTTATAGCAAAAAAAAAAACAAAAAAAAGACAAGCTACGATTATAAATAACATACCTAAACCATCGATGCGTACAAATCTACAGTAATCCAAGGGACGTTTGTCGTACACTTCGCCTTCCACTATGAGGTCCCTAGATCCCATGAACTGACGCACCACAATCGGCTCTGGAAATCATCATATTAACAATATAAGCTAACTGTAAACTTTTGGTATCGTTTGCATGAATTCGGTTAGAAAGAACTCTTTGTTAATCTAAGATACGATTTTAGCTTGATCGAGCAATAAACATACAATTGTGTCAACAAGTCTTCCCATCCCAGAATCTGACTACGAGTCCTTATATATATATTTTTTATTTTAGTAATCTTCAGGGGGTTCTCTTACAATTTTACAAGTTGTAAAATTTCATATGAACTTGCATTTACATTGTATGATTTCTTATAATAATTTGTCAACTAAACAAATTTCCAAACATATTGTTTTTATAATTCAATTGCAAATCAAGAAAGAGATCATTTTAGACTATCTCAAGTATTTGACCCGAGACTAGTGACAAACTAATCTATCTATAGACACATCAATCGTGAACATGCGATAGAGCGAGACAACAACGTTAGTGAACATAGAAGAAAAAAGAAGATGATGCCATAATATCTTACCAGGCATACAAACGAACGGAAAATCTTTCATGAATTATAAAAACTATACAACTATACCTTTTATATTAACATAGATATCAGTCCGCTGTTCTGGCTGGTGACCGTCGTGAAAGCCAACATGACAGCTCCATCTACCACTGTCAGAAGCTAACAAGTTCCTAAACGCCGCACCGCATTCCCCAGCGTCTAAACCAGCACCTACATACTCCACGTTCTCTGAAAACGTGTCTGTAATAAAAGTAAAAATATAAGCTAACGGTTTTTTTTAAATGGATGATAATGGAATGGTAACCCCACCCGCGCTATCGGTATACACCGGTGGGGCACCAGTGAAGGATGATAGGTGAGGATGAAGTAGGTCAGTTAGCCCATCGTGACGAATTTAACAAGAATTGTTCACGACGGTTTCCAGGAGGAACCACGTGGAGGTCGACCTAATAAGGTATATTGCTAGCAATGGGACTGTCAAACTCCATTGCTAACAATCCTTTCCCTCCAAGCTTAACGGTTTGTGGCTAAAAGTAATTTGTAATACAAGTCCACAACGAGCATACATCATCATGCGATAAAACTTTTCATAACTAAATGGTATAGTTAAAAATAAGCTTGCCATCGCGTAGACCGTATGTTCATCTGATGGCAAGCGGTTACTGTAGTCGACCCATGTAAATTATGGGACATTGCTTCGGATATAAGTTTATAAAGCTTATCCTTAATTTTTTTTTTTTACTACGAATGTGGCATACAACTATGTAGCCTGTCTGATGTAAAAGTTCACTGTGGCCTGTACAAATACAAATAATTTTATTTTGCATGAAAATTGGTTAAAAGGATAGTATGTACACACTTTTCACCAGTATCTGGCATACAAAATTCATTTAATTAAGCTATGGACACAAGCAAAAACCGTTTTTTACTTATTAATACATAATACATGATTAAACAAAATAAAAATATTCCAGTCAATTGCGTCACATTATATTCTAGATTAAAAATAATTAAAATAAAAATATTTTTCTGATAGCCATCTTTTTAGTTTCTTTTTAAATATTGTATATTTAATGGTAGTGTTGTCATTTCACCCGTTAGTTAATTATAAATATTTGTCATAAAATGGACTTGTTTATTGCTTATAGCTTGAAACACCAGGGGTGTCACATGTCTGAAGAAAGTTTATTACACCCTTTTTGTAGGACCCCATACATTTATCTCACAATCATTGAAATATTAAGCGACATACCGGGTGAAAGATTGAAGATAGTTCCATTTTGCGCTCTAAAATAACAATACTCGATAGCAGACTGTATTGAACAAGACATGGTCACCGTGTCGCCTTGTAAAACATCGACACTACGATGAGTTGTGATAAGATTCGGTTCTGAAACACAAAAATATTTGTATGAATCATGGTGTTCCGTTTTATAATAAATCTTTATTATAAAGTTATTATATTAAGGTATGAAGGTACGAAGAGGTAACAAAAAAAATTTTCTTTCACATTTGTAATATTAGTAAGGATAACGATTTACAAATATGAAGGGAGAAGGCTGCGGATATCTGAAGAAATCTAATTAAATTTCAATATATATAGTGATCAGAGGTTTGCATCAAATTTTCCCCTGACGCTCTGTTTACCCCGTAGTAACAAGTGACTATTAAATATAATGTAGCTTACACCATATTATGTTTATTTGATGTTAAACTCAGAGAATTTTTACCATTGAAAAAATGGAGTAGTTTTCTATCCAGCCGGTGCCCTTACCTATTATAATAGGGGCAGTGACTTCAGAATCTTGCAGAGCCCAAGAATATAGCACTGTCAGAAAACCATAATATGTATCGTTTGCAGTTTGAACAGCGCATCGCCATATTCCTAAATCATCAGATTGAAGGTTTGAAATTCTTAGTCCACATTCGTGAATTCTAATTGCAGATTCCATACTAGAAAAGAAAAACGTATTTGAGTTTAGAACAATATAGCAAAGTGACAAATAGTCTTGACAGAAAGTTAAGATCTCATTGACTAATTGATTTTTATGATGCTAAGATTGGCAAATAAGCGGACGGCCCTCCTGAATAAAAGTGGTAAGCGTCGTCTATAGATGTGAGTAGCACCATAAATATTACAAAATACAAATGTCTTTATTGTGGATCATAAGTCAGGTTAGAGTATTAGCCCAATGAAATAGTATATCCATGACCTGCTATAAAAGCATACAATATTTAGGTATAATATACAATACCTATGAAGCAGCTACATGCATTATTCGACAATTTACTTACTACATTAAAATTAAAATGGGTCAATACACTATATGCCCATAGAATACACTATTATATGCCATTCTTGAGTACTAAGATTTATTTTTTTTAATGGATGATAATGAAATAGTGTGCCCGCTTGCACTATCGATTAATACTGGCGGGCACCAGTGAGGGATGATAAGTGAAGATGAAGCAGGTCAGATAGCCAATCGTGACAAATTCAATAACGAATCAATTACGATAATTTCCAAGGGAAATCACGAGGAGGTCGAAACAGTATATTGCCAGTAATAGGGTCGCTAATCCCCATTTTTAACCATCCCTTTCCATCCCATTAGTAAGATGTTATACCTCTGTTCCCTGCAATTTCACTGTCATATCCCACCATTCAAACACAGCCATGCAAGCGCAGCTGTTTCACGACAAAAATACGAGTGAGACGGACGTAACCATGCAGACAGTGATTCGACTTCGTATTAGGTGCGCATCTGCTTTGAGAGACGGGTTTTTTCAAGCAGTAATTCCTGTGACACTACGATTTTTTCATGATCTTTTGTACTCGTCCTTTATTTTCGCTGCTAATTCCTATCAGTAAAAGGAATTTTAAGATGTTCTTTTATAGCAATGTTTTTTTTATCTCCTCCGGATGTAAAGTGTATTTTCCAAAAGATACATATATATCGTTTGTGTAGGTACATATCAATAATTTTTCTGATCGATTTGAATGTCTCTATTATTAAATTGACGAGAACATTTTTTAAAATAGTAACAGTTTAAATCTTTACCTTGTTCCTACCCCATGGAAAGTGTATCCACTCTCTCCCACCCCTTCAACAGCAAGGAGAACCCGTCCAGATGGCTTGCGGAACTTGCATGTTTTCACTTCATATTCAGTCGGTACTGAACAAGTCAAAATCACTTCCGGTTTCTGTTCCTCAATTGAGGTGGTCACTATGGCTTTTCGTTCTACAACATTCAATAATATAGTTTCTTAAGTTATTGAAAGACATTTTTAAGTGATTTTCAAAACAGAAGGGCTTCGCAATTCGTCTGTATTTTTTGTAACCTTGTTACAACACTTCTTCACCTATACTGAACTAAAAATTATTTATCGTTTCGAAATCAATAAGATTTACTTCTGAATCCTCAAATTAAATATAGTATAATATTAAGCATAATAAAATAGTCAAGATAGAAGTAATTATTTTTACATAATATTCATTTTTTTGTTTATTAGTGTTATGTTACGATACATTATTTTAGTCTGCTAACTAATGGTTATAGGTAAATTGGTATTCAAATTATCCTCACTCTATTTTGTTTACAAATATTAAGAGTCAAAAAAAGAATAGAATAAACCTTGTAATGTGAGACCAAAATATTAAACTACTCAAAATATTATAATATAGAATAAATTAGTTTATAAAATAATTATACTACCTGCTTCAGTTATTTTCACATTAAAAAAATACTCTTCTGCAATTATTTTTCCTGGAAATCCCACAGTCATAATCCATCTACCATTGTGCTGTTTTGTTACTTTTTCCAATTCAATAGTGCACTTTCCAAAATTATCATATACAATACGGCCACTGGGATCTTCAAGTTTGCAATAAATTGCGTTTTTTGGTCCTATTATTGCTTTAATAGGTCTATCTTTAATAAATTCTAAATTGTCAATTGTTTTGTTCCACGAAGCTAAAATAACAATGTTCGCATTTTTTTATTTTAAGGTTTTAACAACATTCTAACAAATCACTCTCACTGATTGTCAAGTCAACTCTCCTCCTAAGAGAAAGATGTAGGAAAAAGGAAAGAGGATGATGATTATGGTAAATTTAACATATTTATTGGGTTTCATTTCAATTTTTTCTCTTCCTCCGCTAACTTTGGAGATAGATGAGTAGTAACACATTATGTTTTTAATCCGTCACCAGAAGACCAAAAGTACTTAAGTGATTTCATGTGTTAATTCTTACCTATAACGATTACATCGATGAAAGCCCTGTATTTGATACCCATTCCATATCGTATTTCCCACATCCCATCATCAGATTTTTCTATATCTTTGATGATAAATCCACATTTATCATTATAATATCTGTCTGTTTCAAAATCAGTTAAATTGTGGTTTGGTCCATAAAGTACACAAGAATCCTTAAGTTCTGTTGGTTTCTCCAGACGCAAATAAAGAGTATTGCCTTCAGTTATTGTGACTTCTTGAGGTATTGCTCGCACTATCTCTGAAATTTTATAAATAGATAATTTTATAATTATCATTACAACCTACGATCGTTCCACTGTTGGGTAAGGTTTTCCGCCATTTAAGTGGACGATATTAGTCTACTATTGTTGACTGACAACAAATTGTTGATTGACAAACGGCTTGACGCTATAAGATTTTAGTTTGAAACTTGTGAATTTAGATGTGGTTTTTATTTGCATTGGTATTCACATGTATTCACATCTTATTATATATTAGTAATAAAAAGGAGTAATAAGGTTATTTATTATTAATTTTTTTATGTAATTTAGAATGGCAAACAAACTGACGACCCACCTGATGGAAAGTGATAACCGTACCATGGACATAACAGAATATATGTTTCATCCATGATATTCCTATTCGTTGCCATTCCTGAGGACTCAGGTGTTATTTTTCTGTAACCTGTAAATTCACTGCCGTATTCCACCCTTCAAACCGAAACACAGCCATGTCAACACAACTGCTTCACACTAGAAACATGAATGGAACAGAGGTGCCTAAACAAACGACTTTTGTACAAAGTCTCCCTATGGTGAAATCTATTAAAATAATAAATAATGAATCTATTACACCTGAATATATAATATTACATTAATATAATAAATAATAATCAACAATTGTAATAATATCAGTTGACTTAAAATTAATTTATCTATAACAATCTGATAATTAGTTATCGACGTGATAGAATACATGTGTATAGGACATACTTGCATATAATCATATAAAAAGCTATCTAATGTATATTAAATACTTATAATCTTTTAATCACCTACCTTCTACATAAACAATGAAAGGAAGCCTTCTTTCTATACGTTCAAAATAATTTGACACTCTGGCAATTAATATCCATTCTCCAATTAAATCCTCGCTTTTCACATTTACAGTAATACCACATGTGACATCAGGATCGTCTTCTATTACTTCTATTCCAGGAATATTAAAACCTTCCATAATAGTATACTGCAAGCCTGCGGGCGTTCTTAAGTGGCAGCTTTCCTTAGTATTACCGTCCTTAATAAGTATTGTATGACTTGCACCGATTGAGGTATTAAAAAATTGTGTGTCTAAAATATCTACAATTCTATTTTCATCAATAATAGGATTTGCTGGGTCTATAAACAAAAATATAATAACAGAGAAATTAATGATCTTTTAGTACAACATGGAAAAAGTAATGTTCATTTTATGGTTCTATTAAATATTTAAAAGTAAAAACGTTTCATCATATGAAAAATAAAATAGTAAATAAAATAAATAATTTGAAAAGAAATAAAAAAATTACCTTCCTTCACTATTTCAATAACACGTCGTCTTTCAGTAAAAGTATCACTGTTGCTGAACTTTCCACTAAAATTCCATTTACCGAGCATTTCCTCTGTTATGGGACCAATAGCTACTCGGCAGGCTATATTTGAACCTACATCTTTAAACACGACAGGATCCAGTTCTTTACTATCACTTATAGAATATTTTTGGCCAAATGAACTAATTATTTGGCAATCGTCTGTTGCTAAATTGCCCCGTCCATTTATTTCTTCGATAATAGTGCTACCTAAATTAATAATATAAGTGACTTGATCTTCATTAGTTACATTGTAAGCTTGACTGTAAGGATTCTCTTCATCTGTAACAAAATTATATTTTTAATTTCAATTGTTGTAGGACAATATATATATATATATATATATATATATATAATATATACATATATATATATATAATTGGACACGCGAACGAAGTCGCATGCACATGTGTAATAAGAAAACTTACCATAAAGAAACAAGTGCATTGGACGTGACACTTCAATTAATCCCATTAAAGGTGAATTAAACAGTCCGAACAATTTCCAATCTCCAATATAATATTTGTTAATAGGACCTATATTGAAATTGCAAGCTTCATTCGTTCCAACACGGGTTAAACCAGGGTAATCTGTGTCTGCAGTTATGACTAGTTCTTCCCCATTAGGTGTTACAGCGTGACAAGTTGACACAGTACCAGACCCAGTTAGGACAGGTGACAAATTGCCATCATAGGAAACGACATAGTCGCTTTTTGGTTCGGGCCACAAGTTCCAAGTTTGAGACGAATTGTTAGGATTGTCTGTAAATATTTTATATAATATTACTTTACTTTTAATATGTATTAAAAAATGAAAGTGGAATTTTAAATTTGTCTGTGTTATCGAAGTAGCAGTGAGGGATGATAGATGAGAATGAAGTTAGCTTAATTTACCTAGCATAACAGATTCACCAGAATGAAAACTATAATGGGTTCCAAAGGGACTGCAAAAAGGTCGGCCTGAGAAAGTATATTGCTAGTATTGGGGGCGCTGGACCCCATGGTCGCTAGAATCCATTACTAACAATCTTTTCTTCCGTTGCTTCAGCATCATGGTAATTAATTTTTTGTATTAAAAATTTTACTATAAAATTTATTCTATTTTTATGGTATCCTACAATTTTAAACACCAGTAGCACTTTGAAAACTATTAACTTCAGAGGGCGATATTCATACACGAGTAGTACTATAAATACTACATATTATAACTCAAAGTCCTCCACCACAACTGTCTGTCTGTCTGTTTGTTCACAACAGACTCAAAAACTACTGCACCGATTTTCATGCTGTTTTTACCAATGAATAGAGTGGTTCTCGAAGAAGATTTTATTATATAATTATGTTATATTTTTGTATATATTGGCTAACATAGAACGATATTTGTTGGAGGTGTCGGAAAAAAATAAGCCGTCTGTGAGCTTTCAACGAAGAAGCTGTCTAAACCTATTGAGATATAACAAAATAATGTATAATAGAAATGTGTATCTTATATAGGTCTACAGAAAAGTCCGCGATGGCATCGTGTGTATCTCTTAAGGATAACATACTATATCAATTTTAATACTTTACCAAAATTTTACCGAAAGCTACATCTCCTCAAAGTAACATAGGCTATTTTATATTTGCTGTAAAGAATCCGTGCGAAGCCGGGGAGGGTTGCTAGTAAATGTACATATCAGAGGTAAACTTTGCACAAAATCATCCACAAGAATACATCTGTTCCACTGTTTTCATGAGTATATTTCGGTTTAAAAGAATAAAAGGATATGGCAAAGAAATTACAGGGTATAGAGACTAAGAATATAGCCTCATAAATAGCAACGCAAAAGTAATACCATAGTCATAACAGAATTGTTTATGACTGTACTTTCCATCAGGTGGAAACTGAGCAAATCAATGGCAAATAATGCCATTATATGTTTTAAATTTTAATGCAAGCTTCAGTATCTCTTTCTTTTTTAACGCGCCACCTACCTACTTATGCTTTAATTCTTTCTACCCAAAGGTTGTCTGGAAGAGATTGCTTAGCAATAAGACCGCCTTTTGTACTACACTATACGTATTGAAAATTGTTTTAACAAATCATGTTATGTTGGTGCAATAAAGTGTTAAATAAATAAATAAATATCTCTAAGATAAAATGCAATAATTAGATGTTTAGGTCAGTAAGAATATTTTTAAAATTATATACGATTTGGGATAACAACTAAATTATAGAAAGTTATTAGGTTTTGTTGCAAAATTTGAGGAACAAAGACAAATGTTTAGAGACATCTATAGCATCAAGTTACTTACACCAGGAGATACTGACTGGTTGACATCTCTTATGAGGTTCATTCTTATCCTTATATTCCCCACATAGTGACCAGTTGCCTAAAAGAGATTCATTTATGGGTCCTATAGTGATCCTGCAGGAAACAAAATAACTGCTATTGCGGACTGTTACTCCTGGGATGTTAACGTTCTCTGCCAACACCGTTTCGCCGTTTGGAGTGATAATGTTACATGTTTCTTCATGAGATATTTTACTTAGTGATATGTCGATGTTTGCGTCTCTTTTTGTCCTATGAACGATTTCATGTAAAATGTCTGAAATGAATAATTAATTTTTAATCTTTTCAATAGTTTGGTGTCTGAAACGATTTTAAAAATCTACTTTATTAATCATAGCGGACATTCTGATGCTTTACAATTTTTCACCTTCATCATCAGATCAGCTCTTAGATATTGTCTCTTTAATTATCATTTTTTCACTATTTAATTTCGACAGTCTATTGCGCATTCATAAACTTTAAGAAAAAATAAACGGTAAAAATACAAACCACTGTTTGATCCATTTTCTTCTCCTTCGACTGTAAAAAAATGTATATACTTTAATTGTTAGCAACATAAATATAATAAAAAGAGAGAAGATAAATATGAAAAAAAAAGATAACCTAACTATAAGAGGGAAAGACGTTATGTATAATGCGTATGGCAGAGTTGCAATCCCCATCTAGCCTTCATAAACTGTGCTACTGTCTTGTTTGATTGACGCATCACAGTTGCCTCAATTAACTATCGTGTATGATGACACGATTAAGATTGTATACTACAAAAAAAAAAAACTGGCTTCAATTGTGGTAAAACTACTTATTTTTATTTCAGAACTAAACTTCTTAACTGATTTTGATAGTCTCTATAGGATCTATATGTAAGTATATTCCTTGTAGATATAAAAGTATTTTCCAAATCAATTTATAACTAATGGAGTTATGAGATCCCAAAGTCCCAAAGAGGGTTGACGTCAGGCAGGCGGCCGGTTGTAAAATAATAAGCCAAATCTTTTTGTAATATGGATAAAAACATTACGCCGACTAATTGGGATAAGGGTAGGAAGATGATGATGATGATGATGGAGTTATGAGATAACGAACATAAAACAATGTAACCGAGTAAAGAGTCTTTTAAGTCGGTTACAAAGGAACAATCCTTTTTAAATTGTAAGTAACTACTGAATACAACTGGTCTGCACATACGAGTAATCAGGTAACGTTCGATTGCGGTCCGGAATCTCAAAATAAACGAAAGCAACCTGAACCTTTATAGTTTTAAAATCAATTTCCGAGTCTCTTAAAAGTTATTGTGACTTGCATTATGTTTGGAAAAGCCTATAAAGCCATTTTCGGAGATGTTTTTTCTCCGTTTGTTGAGATATTGTTACATGTGGCGAGACCTCCTCCCCTATGGAAGATTTGTTTGTAATTATATTTACTACTATATAAAGTATATGATACATATTATTCATTGACTTGATTGATTATTCATTGACAGTTATGCGATTTATCAAAATACTAAGTATATAAGATATTTTATTAATATTTAAACATAACAAGTAGATTTTTTCCACAAAAACAAATACCGTCTTCAATCGTGATAAATTCAGATATTTTGATTTAAAAACTAAATTATTTAATAGTTCGATAAAATTTATTATTATTTGGACGAATATGTAAGTATATCTTTTTAAATAGAAAAGAATTTTCCAAATCGGTTTTTTTACCTCAAAACTCCGTTAACAAATAAACATAAAAAAAAATCGAATTGAGAACCTCCATTTTGGAAGTCAATTAAAGATATTTATTATAAACACAGTAATACCGTTGTGAAAGACTTACACGAGTATAGTCTATTTGCTAATTCTGCCTTAATTTAATATGACAATTTTTATTCAAATACATAAGTAGTGTAAGTTATACAAAAATATATGTTATTACATACTATATTTACGTTTAAATGAATAAGTTTAACATAACTTTCCGAACCTATCTGCTACCGTTAGAGATGATACAAAATTTTCAATACAACCGCACTTTTCACGTAAACCTGCTGTTTTACTCCCACTAGAACCACTATTCACATTTCTATGATTTTCCTTGTAAACATCATACTTATTTCGAAGTCTCTAATTAAATAATTTAAATACCAAATACAACAAATATTTGACAAAGAAAAAGAATAAAAATTTAAACTAAAAACGTCGTGAACAACTTAAACATATGTATTATTTTACGATACTACATCGTCACCCTTATAACACTATGTATTATCCTTATATAGGTAACTCAACTAAATCCACTGCTTCTATAACAAAAACTAACAACTTCACACTGAGAAAGTTGGTTTAGTCACCTGAAAATGCGAGCAATAGAAGGGAAGCCCCTACGAAAGGCGTCCACGACTTCATCTTGCTGTAGGCAACGCGCTACTGGTTCGTCACTTGTGCTACTAAACTTAATCACTATTATCATTAGTCTCGAGAAAGTTTATTTATACTATTAGTAACAGATTACGAAATTATTTTTATCGTTACTTCATTAAAATATTATCTCTTTAATCTATAGAACCAAAGATATTGTAAAACTAGCATAGCTAACATTCTCCTGCGCGATAATCCATTTCAAATCTATATAAATATATATAAATGTGGCCAAAATTATGTTGTTATTTTGTAATTGGATACTCCCACTCTGTAGCAAAGTTTCACAGTTTGCAACTGTACTGAGAAAAAGAAAATCGACCAAGTGCCAGAGACTTCCCTACAGGTTATGGTTAAAAACAAATATTCCCTCTGTATAACTTAAGTACGAGATGACAGTTTACGAATGTTTTCCGTTACATGTGCTATACAACATTGCTTCTTGGCATGTTTCATAATTTTAGATTAACGAAAAGTACCCAATAGGTTTGAGTTCCCTTGCAAATTTCAAAATATACGCTATAAACAGCCGTATCTTTTGATTGCAATGATTAGTTCGATTTTTTAACAGCTTCAAGAGCTTGCAGACCTGAGTATTTGATATTAATTTCAGCTTGATAGTTCTACGCGTTCCTGAGAAAAAAAGGTCTTGACAGACAAACAGAAAGACGGAAAACAAAGTGAGCCAATCACAATTCCGTTTTTCGTTTTAAAGTACGGAATCTTAAAAAATAACTAATATACAAATATATAGGTGTATAAAAATGAATTATATGATATACGAATAAATACCTTGTTAGAAGTGTGTCGAGAAAAATCTTAAGATATCCGATTGCATGGATTATAAATTTAAATAGATAAATTAATCTTTACGCTTAAATGCAGTAATATTTGGAATTTAATTACCTAATTATTGCCAGTATTTTTCATAACCTAATTAATCTCTAGCATCTAATGTCGAAATCGAAATATTAAACTAAAAGGGTCGTTTTGTATTTAACCTAATCCCTAAAATCTTGATAATTCTAATAAAATTATTAATAATGTTAGTACATTCATCTTTATCCCAAATAATTGAGACCGTCAGCTAGTTTGACATTCTAAGTTGTAAAAAAAATTAGGTACCTACTTGTATGCCAAACAATTAAAATATTTTTTTTTAATTTTGTGGTCTACAAATCCTCCAGGATTTTATATTTATTTACAGCTTACTTACCTACCAGTAAGGTAACTTCTCACAACTATCTGACGTTACAGTTAGAAGAGCTAGAACTGGTTTTAACATTTATGTGTTATATATGCACGCAGGTAACTAGAATGTCTTGCTTCGAATACCAATGACCTAGACATTGCAAGAGCTAGGTATGAAGTTTTTTTTTTTTTCAAATAACTCTATTTAATTGCTAGTGAAATATATTTTTTAATTACTATTTGTTGTAATTATTACCAGAGAGAGTTTACAAAAGTATGTGATAATTGGGTAGTACCTCTATCCAACTATTGTTTTTGCCACTGTACTTGTGTTTACATAGCTATGTTATGGTAGTGAAATTACCCAGTTATTAATCCCATTATTAACAATCCCTTCTCCCCCACCCAATAGCGTTCGTGAATACCTGTTGTATTACTATTTATATGTAAAACTGTTTACTTTTATATAAAGTACCTATAATAATTATCTTGATCAGGATATAAAAACGCCTTTGTTATACAAATTGGTGAGGAAACCTTGGTAACAAACAATATCAGTACTTATCACTAATAGTCCAAATTCTGATTAAATGTAATACCTTTATGTACATAAGAAAATATTATTTTCTATATTATGTATTATATATTTATTATATACACAAGGGAAACGTTCTTTTGCCTCCTATAGCCACTTACCTACTTATGTAGGAGACCTATATTAAGCAGTGAACAATAAACAGCTGATATGGTAATGATTGTGCTAATCCTTCTAATATTATGCTTTTGAAGAGGGCTACGTTTATATAGAAATAACTCCTAAATGTACATTCAATCCTATATATATGATGAAGTAATATACGAATAATAATTCATGTACTCTGGTCCTTCGTAGGTACTATTAAATATCAATATGTTAAGTGATATGTACAGAATGTTTGTAGACGACAAATATTTTCCTGTATGTATCATTAAAAGAAATAAAATAATTGACTAATATGCTTAAGATATCTGTCTATTTTATAATTAGAGCAGATGTTTTACTCAACTTAAAAACTCAAAAATTGTCGATTACATTAAAAAAGAAGTACAGTTTGACCTCTTCATTAACTTATGGAGATTATAGAGTTATTTAGAATGAAAAGGTCATCGTTATTTGGTTGAGGTGCTATGAAAAATTCCCTAGATAATGTAAGCTGATGTAAAATAATAACATTATTTCTTTCGTCCTTTCAACTATCAGTTTTATCACTGTCTATCAATAATAGTCCAGCTAAAGTTTTATTCTTTATTATTGGTTTTATTATGTTATCGAATTACCTATCGTTAGTCCTGAAATTTCTAGAATGTGAACACTTTGAGCTTTGTAAACATACATATATATTACATATGTATAGAAATTTAAGTTTCCGAATTCATCCACTAGAGGCCTAGTTACGCTTTCATTACAGACTTATTATACGTAAACGTGAAGGTTGATTGTTGTAACGTAATTTTTTTTGTAAAACTCATATTATAGTTATACAAACTATAGCTTATCTTTATCGATCATTATTTGTAACGGGTATTGTAGATCTTGGAACGCTAAGGATAAGGAGAAAAAATATATTCATTCGATATTATTTATCAGTTTTACATCGAAGGATAGATGACTGGCAGATTCTTGAAAACATAAGGATATTGGTGTCTACACGTATCTCACATGATATTTCGGGTAGGTCACCAACCTCTTACTACAGCTACACAAACCACTTTCCCATACGAGACATGCCGCACCCACGAATCTTGATTGACTTGGGGGTATGCTCATTCGGTATAACAATAATTTAATTTTAAGGAAGCACTGTGTGCCCTCACATATTGCGAGTTTCTGGGGTGAAGAACTTACTATAGAAATGATAATAGTATAATCGAAGTAAGGTCTTAACCTCTACTACAGCTACACAAACCACTTTCCCATACGAGACATTCCGCTCACGCACCCATCGTGCATTACACTTGATTGACTTGGGGGTATGCTCATTCGGTATAACAATAATTTAATTTAAGGAAGCACATATTGTCACTGTAGCTTCGCAACACATATACGCAAACATTTTGTTTATCTTCAACTGTTTCCTAAAAACAGCAATCTTGATAATCTTAACACTAGATACAAATACAAACTGGCTTTTCCAAAGTATCGTTTAGAAAAAGTTAATAGGTGTTTTATAGGAATTAAATGTTATAATAAGATACCGAATTGTACGGTGTGGACTGCCGTTCGGTGAGCGTGGACTGTAGGGGCGTTGGTTCAGGCTGGAGTGAAACACAGCGATTACTATTCTGAAGCCTCCGGTACCGTCTGAAGAGAGTATTTTTTCTTCTTGTCCTATTTCTTCTCGAGTGTAGTGTGTCGCTGCTCGGAAGCGAATGCCGCTCGTAGGTATTCGTAGGTATTCTCCGCACGTAGCCGTATAAAGGGGACGTGGGGGGTATAGCAGCCAGGGGCGTTGGCCCCCTTCTGCTGGTGTCTCTCGCCTCACATTACCATGTGCAGGGTAGTTGGGGGTGGTACTTGCCGGTGGTTTTCATAGGAACGCACTAAGGTTCACTTGTAGACTGTTGGCGCCGTCTGGGCCGGTCGGCGCGGTCTTCGCCTGCCAGGTGAGACCCCATGGGGGGAGGCCCGGCAAACTGCCAGCGCAAGAGCGGCCCTTGACGACGGCGCCACGCGCTTCTACACTATGGGACCGTGCCTTCTTCATCTGCTTCGCGCGAGCGGGTGAGTTCGCGCGCATATGGCTTCATCTCCGGCGGTCTAGCGTGCAGAGGCGCTATGCCTCTGAGGTGGTCCCATTTTGATGCGTCCGCGCGCTGGAACAGTCTAGTCGCTAGTTCTTTCACGTGTGCGTCCAGTGGCTGGATTTTGAGGTCCCTCTCCAGGGTGGCGTTTCTGACGAACTTATGCGCACCGGTCAGGGTACGCAACGTCAGGTGCTGTTGTGCTTCTAGTGCTCTTCTGTTTGTCTTGCTGACGAATGCGTACCACGCCGGCGCGGCATAAGTTAGACGCGGGCGGATGTACGTTTTATAAATTCCCGTCTTCATCTGGAGAGGGAGGTTTCCGACGAGTACCGGACGCAGCAGGTGCCTGGCTGTTCTAGCCTTCTGGCGAACCTTCTTGACGTGCGTTCCGAAAGTCAACCGGCGGTCGATTTCCACCTAAGTAGGTGGCGGTGCGGACCACTCGATCGGGGAACCGAGCAGGCGTAGCTGTGGTGGCGTCCTTTTCATGTTGGCTGTGATCGCCTGTGTCTTGCGCACGTTCACCGACAGGCGCCATTTTCCTAGCCATTCTGGCAGGGCATCTAATACTGTTTGGATTTTTGACGCCGCGTGCTTATTGTTAAGCGACGTCGCGGCGTAGGCTGCATCGTCGGCGTAGAGCGCCAGTATGGTCTGCTCCGTGGTTGGGATGTCGTCGATGTACTGCGCATAAAGCACAGGCGATAAGCAGCTGCTTGCGGGACGCCCGCTCGGATGGGACGCTCACCCGAACAGGTTTGTTCAACCGCCACCATGAACCGACGATTCCTGAGAAATGAGGCCACCACTTGGATGAGCCTTCTTGGCATTTCTGTCTGGGTGGCAACTTGTACAGCAGACCGTCGTGCCAGACCCTGTCAAAAGCTTTCTCCATGTCGAGGAATACTGCTACGGCGACTTCCTTCTTGTTGATGGCCGTTGTGAACGTGTGCAGTATCCTGATCAGCTGCAGGGTGGTGGAGTGTCAGCTCTGAACCCGTATTGCTCTTCTCTGGGCTTGATGTATGTGTTTATGTGTTTGAGAAGTAGTCTCTCAAACACCTTCGATACATGCTGCAACAACGTGATTGGCCGGTACGATTCCGGTTTCAA